GAAATGCTATAAAACAAAAAAAAATCAATACACATTAGTAAGTACTTTTCAATCCCAATTTTGCATTTTTTGGTTTTTGAATGAAATAAAGATAAATATCACTTTTATATCATCAAATCAATCAGAGTCTAGGGCAGACCTGTTCACAAATCAATCAGAGTCTAGGGCAGACCTGGCCACAAAGGGCCACTGTGGCTGCAGGTTTTTCTTCCAGCCTGTCCAGAACACACTGACTGAAGACTCACAGCAGTTGATTGGTTGGAACAGAAACCTGCAGCCACAGGGGCCCTTTGTGGACATAATTGCCCAGCCCTCATCTAAGGGAAGAAAAAAAAAATAGATAAAAATGAATTTAAAGGAAGAAAAAAAATAGATAAAAATGAATTTAAAAAACAAAAACAAAAACAAAACAAAAAAGCTAAACGTTCTGTTACTTAACTTACTTAAGTGTCTCCATATAAAAATTCCTTAATAAATAAAAATAGTTTTACACAATAAATAAAGGAGAAACTTTTATTATCAATTATTATTAATTATACTGTTGTAACATCAGTGATATTAGGTCATGTGTGGATGTTATTGACTGGTTTGATACTCATCTGTTAATGTTTTTTTTTTTTAGAATAATAGCACTTAAGGTGCATTACAATATAAATGACGTAGTTGTAATGTTATATATCATTATTGTAATGCTACATTCAAAAAACAATCAATGTTTTCACAAAGGAGGGAACACTTCCCTGCAGGAAAGAGGTGGGCAGAACACACAGTGGGCTCATTACCAACTGAATTCATCTGTGAGGGTCAGAAACAGGCTGCCAGAACAGGGCTGTTAAACCGCCGTTATTAGGTTTGAAAATCATGAAAATCCTGATGTTTCCTTTGCACTAACTCTGATCAACTCCCACCCTGTTAAACACTGGGTCCATTTCCCATGTGAGTGAGTGTGAAGGATTTGCTACTTAGAAATGTTTAACAAACAGCGTGTTGTACATCGAAGGATCTCTCCCATGCAGTGTGCACGGACTTGAGCGTAGAATTCTTCAAATGCCGAGCTCCAACACTGACTCAGTCCCTGAGCCACTTCAACCAGTGATGTTGGAAATCAAAACCAGACCGGCTGTATTTTCTGATGTCATTCTTCTGACTCGTTTTATACATTTTTGCATATTCAATTGTCCTACAAATAGGAGAGGTAAACAATATGTAAGATTAAGATTTTGGGAGAGGGTTGGGGGGTTACCAGGGGCTTAAGACAATTCTGGCGTTTGTCAAAATGTTACAAAGAATGGGCTAAAATAACCCTAATCCTGTAGTGTTTATTTCTGGATATTATAACCAACGTTAGCTATCCTTGGCTAATGCTATTCCTTTAATATGTTGTTCAAATATTTATATATATATACACCATATATATTAGGTACTTTATAGGCAGGGAAGTTGAAAGTGAAGACTTTGTAACAGTTGTGAGACCTGCTATGATGCTATGAGGGATAAAGATGATTGATTTTCACTGGGAAACTGAAGAAAGGTTGAGCTACTTGACAGATAAATGTTAAGCTTCTAGAATTGCTAGCTTTTAGTCATTTCTGTGCTAATAACTTCCCATGAAAACAGTAAATGCTTGCTTTAAGGATGTCTGTTTCTCACCTGGTCACAGCCAGCATTGACCAGCTCCTGCAGCATCTGCCTGTTAACCTCTCCAGCTCCAGCCGGGTGTCCAGACCCCGAGGATGGTCCGGACTCGTTGGCAAACGGCATGAGCGACTTGCGGATCTCCCGTAACGCATTTTGGTAGTTGTTGAACTTCTGCGGCGGTCGCAGCTGTTGCTGTCGGCTCGTCGTTTCTTTCCCGCTCTTGCAGTCCGCCCCTCTGCCTCCCCCGTCGGTCCGGCAACTGCTCCCTCCATGCAACGCCTGGCTCACCAGCTTGGCCGGCTGCTTCAGGCCTTCCTTGATCTCCTGGAGCCTCTGTCGAGTGTTACCCACATACGGGGCGGCCGGGAAAGTCTTTGGCCTCATGGCCCGAGTGCCCGGGGACAGGCACCTACTCTAAATAGGAATCACACACTCTTACACACACATACACCAACTCCTCACACTTCACAGATTGACCTAAACTTTGTTTGTTTTTTTTCCAATGTTTCTCTGTCAACTCTTGTTGACGTCAGTGCGACTGGACGGAGCAGAGGTGGGGATACTACAGACATTCCATGGTGTGCCTTTCAAGGCTCAGGTTCCAACTTATTCCAGGAAATGCAGCTGGTCATGAGGATACCACCAAGCCAAACCATGATGCTGCCAATTTGAGCCTGTGGAGGAAAGGAATACAGTCAGGAATATGTGTCCAGTAGAGTTTCTATCACAGTCAATCAAAGGCAACTCTGGGGTTTTGTTTTTTTTTTTAAATAAAGTATTAAACAACAGGAAAGGTTGTGCAAGAGAGTTGAAACAGCTATGAAACCAGGGCCTCTCACTAAGTGTGGAATCTGAGGTATGTAGCCAAAATTCCTATGTGTTAATGCGTTATAGTACATGTCCTGTGCTGCGCCTGGGTCCGAGTCACCATAACGCGAAGAGTTTTCATTTTTATCATCAAATTATTAAAAACCTTGTCCTAAAATGTTTAGTCGTGGACCAAATATTTTCAGTTTATTTTAGAGAAGACATTCAGACGCTTATTAAATTAAAGTCACTCAAAACAATCTTCCGACCAACAGAAAGAGTCGCCTGTTCGCATGATACGTTTTTATAGAGGTGCGGCTCTAATGCAAAGTAAATTCCTGCGCCGAAATAAAACTAATAAGTTTAGCATCTCTAATAAAGCCTTACAGTTGTCGTTGCCCAGTTATAAATGGTTTTGGATCTGGAAACATGATATGAAGGCATGACCACAGAGTTGGCCGACATCATCAGCTGTTAGTACACTAGTCTAATTAAACAAGATCTGCTGCTTTTTGAGGCCAGAATCCGACAGTGTCACCAACCACACGGCCAAATGTGTGCGACTGCCGTAACCTGGACGTAACACGTAGTATCAACTGTATCCTAACGCATCACGGAGGCATTCTCAGGGTCACGAAATGCCACCTGACCGCCTCCCTCCCGCCTCCCGACTCTCGCTCTACCTCCCCCCTGCTTGGAGCCCCATCACTGCATATCTGCGGTTGCACAAGTCAGCCCCTGTCGCTGCATTCCTGTGCTGCGTGGTCATCAGTAAACACCCCAGCGAGCAGCAGAGCAGCACAGCGCTAGGTTTGGAGGCTAGGGTCATAATATGTCTTCCCTCCCTAAACTCACAGCTTATGAGAATGCTCGTCCTGTGGTCGGACATTTAACAGCATTTTTTTTTTTTTTAAGTAATCGTGTGGAGGTACATGCTCTACATTCTGCCATGACAGTGTGACTCTCCAGGGGGCGCCTGGAATGATATATGCACATGTTACTGTCCAAGACACTCAGATACCATTTAATATCTGACAGGCTAATGAAGGATTACTGCAGAGAAAGTATTCTTTAGTGAATAGCAGAAAGAAAAATTAAAAACTTCCTATCCATTTGAGTTTGAAGTTAATTTTTGATTTTGTTTTAATTATCTTAAGTCTATATTAGGTACATGATACCTAACTTCATTATGTCCAATACCAATATTGCAACTTGGAGTCGTGGGCTGCTGTTTCTAAGGCAATAGTGTCCCTGTTTACAGCATGTTGCAAAAATGATAAAGGCTTAGTTATCGGATCCAACAGGCTAGAGTTGTTTTTTCCCATGTTCAATCCTGAAATTTTGACCAATATCGGACCAAAACCAATCCTGAATATCCGATCAAACCATCCCTGCTCTATACTATGCCTTAAAAAAGGCATTGGCAGCTTTATTACAAAGCCTATATTATTTTAAAAACATTTTTAGGACTGTTGTCACATCCCGGCACGGCGCAAGAGAGGCAGTTGCACCTAAAGTTCAAATATGCTGAACTTTGACCCCAGCTGCTCTGACCTGTGTTGGTCAATTGCTGCCGACTGCTGCCTGAGCTGAAACATGTTTACGGTAATAGACAGACTTCACCTCAGACAGGAGACCAAAATGTTACACACAAATACATTTGCATAAATAATAATTTTTAAAAAATAGTTTAAATGTCTGCAGTAATTGTACAAGTCAGTAAATCAAATACATTTTAATCTCCTTCTATTTCATTTCCTTCTATTTCACAGAGATGGCTGCCATTGATTTTGAGAAATTCTAGATAAACTGGAGATATATAATAAAGGTCCAAAGACTGACTTAAATAATCATTGTACAGACTCCCACTGTGTCTGCGCTGAGGAAATACTGAGAATTCCAATGGAAAAAAATAAATAAAATTCCAGTGGGAATTTACAGACCAAACACCATGGGAAGATTTAAGGGTTATGTAACAGTGTACGCTGCAGAAAAAAAACAACTTTTAAACAAATATTAAATAATAATATTGATAATAGGTTTTATTAATATTGGACCTTATTTCTTTGAAATGCTCTCATGACCTGCGCCGTCGCAGAAACATTCTAATTTGTTATCTTTCAGCTTCTCTTTCACATGTTAAACACACTTCAGGCTACAAGGAGTTCATAAAGTTCCCTTAAATTATTATTTCCACCTCCACTAGACTCTTATAAAAGGTGTGCACACCATGGAGATCATATCCAGAGGACAAGATCAGGACATTCACACACAGCACCGCCTCTATGTCTAAGTAGAACACTGTATATTCAGTGTTTGTGCAGATAAAAAAAAACAAGTTTGGTTTTCTTTTTTCTGACGGTGGGAGAAACAGTCAGGGCGGGACCCATCTGTGTGACTGTTGCCCCATCTCTGGGATCTCCAGCCTCCATTCCTGTGATGCTTCAGGCGCCATGTCTGACCAGTGAGCATGCCATTCCACAAGTAACTACAAGAAAACTCATGCCATCGTCTAATCATGGGACCGTCTGACCAAAAATAAACACCAAGAAAAACAACATCTAAGGATGATCTCTCTCTGGAGGAGGTCGTCTGAACGAGCAGGTCAACTCTTTCGGCATTCTTGAAGAGGTTGATACGTCTCTTCTAAATCCATAAACTCCCTCTGTAGAATCATTTCTGATCTTCTTCATCAACACATTCCTGAGCCTTATAACTGCTCTGACCTTAACCTCACCTCCGACTCCACAACGGACAACAGTCTACGTGCAAATATTCACACATGAAGCCAACGGCGTATTTAGGATTTATGCACCAAGAGGAGCCCTGCAAAGGGTGAAATGTTCTAGATATTTGACATTTACTTCTTATTGTTTCATATCTTTGACCTGGGAACTAAATATTTGAGGGTGTCGTGGTTTTCTGACACAGAGCCTGGCATTTTTCATCATTGCTTGGACTTGATGTATCATTTTCAAATGACTAATTTGAAGTATTCCTCCATTGGCTAACGGATGAAAATATTTGAAGGATTCCTCCATTGGCTAACGGATGAAAATCATAATCTGCTTTACAAGATCATTTTTATTTTTAGTGTAGTCAATAAATTTTTTTTAAATATTAATTCACAGTTATATAATATTCAGTTATTTACAATTAATTAGACCTAATTAAATTTTTTGTTTTTGTTGCCGAGTTATTTCTGTTTAAAATAATTGAATTTAATCATTTAAATACCTGAAATTACCCAAATAATTTAGAAAATAGTGACCTAATCATTTAAATACCTGAAAATACCCAAATAATTTAGAAAATAGTGACCAATGCTATAGAAAATAATGAAATTTTGCCTTTCAGATCGAAGTCTGCGTCATTATTTAAAGGTGCAGTTCCTCCAATTGCCAGCTGGAGTTTAAAGAAAAGGCAAAATTCTCTTTAGAAGAACCCAATTCCAACAAACCTGTGATTTCAAATCACAAATACAAATAAAAAAAATTGGGGGTTTTCAACTTTAGAGTGTGGTGTTTTGAACAGCAGAGATTAATGTCTTGTGCAGAGTTCCATCACTGTGGTCTGAGCCTCTCGCTGCTCTACCTCAGCTCCACTCAGGTTTCCTCTCACTCCTGCCAAAGTACACTGGCGTTTTACTGTTGCCCAGTTAGTTTTTCCCTCCTGACGATATTCTGGAGGAGAAATACATGTTGAGATCTGTTTCGTTTTTTTTCCTCGCAGGGCTCAATATCTGAAAACATGACAAAAAGACAGGTTTCAGTTTCCAATTGTTGTCGGGCCTAATTAGCACTGCCATCTACATTTGTGGTATTTGAGGAATATCAACAAGATTGATGGAGTGTCTTGAATGGCACATGTGAAGCCCACCAGCCATTTCACATCCAGAGCATGGGAGAAAAAAAACACAGAGTAAACAGAACCGACTGAGCCGTCATCCATCATCTCCACCACTGATGCTTGGAGGGTCCTGGGTTATTCTGCTGATATGTAGCTGCAGGCCAGAGTCCAGCTCAGGTCATTGGCTGAACATATCAACCGCCCAACCAGAAACACATCTTAGGCTTACAATAAACTTTGGGTTTGCTCTGAGATGCACAGAAATAGCATTGTCACTTCTCTGATTACAGACAGGCATTGTTAGCGGCTGCTAAGACACAAACACACACACCTTAAATCAGCAGCATGTTCTCCTGACTTCAACATATGATATTATTGCAAGTTTCCAGACCTTTAACTTGGGAAACGCCATTGGACGATTATGCTAAATCCACAAAGCGTGACACCCCGAACCGCCCTCACAAACAAAATTGTAGTGAACCCACGAGTCTACAGTTACTTGGGAACATCTCTGTGCAGACACCGATAAGAATCAACCGAAGCATAGCTAGCAGCACTGAGTGACTGAGCGCCTCAGCCAACATCACATATCTTTCATTTTTCCGTATCTATGCAGACAAAGAGAATGCTTCAGGAAAACTGCGCGACAGTTAAGAGAGAAAGACGAGCCTGTTGCTGGAAACACAGGGACTCCAGTGCTGGTGTGAAAAAAAAAATCCCCCTTTGGTAGAATATTTTAGCGCGGACATTAATCCATTGTATAAACCTGACTGTCTTCTTATCTGAGAGGGCTTAAATTAGCTTTTAATTAGTTAAACTCTCTTTTCTTGAAATTATTCGTATCAGATACTAACGCATAACATACCCTGTGGACAACGCGTGCTGTCTAGTCGGTTCCATAGTGTAGAGGTTAGCTCGAGTCCTGGGTTCGATTCCCAGAGGAACCATATGCTTGGCGCTTGCTAGGGGCAGCCTAGCAAGTTAACAGTAGATCTGCTGCTAACACAAATATGGGATCAATATAGTACAAATTTATTTATTTGAGAATCTGTCATACAAAGCAAAAACTGTATCAATTTGCCCGTTGCCTGCTGTTGCCTGACTTCATCTGAATTTAAGATTCAGCAGGGCAGAGGGTGGGGGACACTGAGGGTGACTTTACCTTAGAGACATTATAAATGCTCATAAGCTGTATTGGTCATACAGAACAGTAACAGTATTTTTATATTGGTTCTCATTGAGTAAGATAATACAAAAGTCATGTTTATGCTCTCTTTGGGGATTGGACTTCAACTGTTTCTTAGTGATGCAGTTGTAGTTTTTTCTGTTGCAATACTACTGGCATAGGATTATTTTCTTCCATGTTAGAATGATTGTGTGACTCACACTGTAATGACGTGCACCAAAAGACATATCCTTCAAACTCTGTTCTGTGCACACCAATCTCACACCGCTCCTTTATACTGTACGTCTTTGACCAAATTCAACGACTACTTCCCAGCGCACAACAAAAACAACAGAGCACAGGCTGGAGAGGCAGAGCCCGAACATCTGCTTGTAGTCCAGAGGAGATTTCTCACCACAGTCATCCCGCTGATTCCTCCCTGACAGTTGGCTCTATGCTGTTTGACAGAATTAAATCCAGCTGTGGCCTGACACCTGATGATGCACCTTTAAAAAAAAAAACCACCATCACCATCCATAGAAAATAAAAATTTCAGATTTAAAGAAAAGTGTTGCAACGATACAGAGTTACTGGGGAGAAAAAAAGACGAGAAAAAAAAAAACTCTGCTGTTTTGCATTACTACAGCTCGGCAGTGAGAGAAGTAAAAACATCAAACTCTGCTGGAAATTTAGCCCAGCGAGTGTCTCATGGAGAAAGTATGCGTGTGCTTCGTAGCATTAGCAGCACACCTGAGGGAAACACAAAGTTGCATCATGGTGGCGTCCATGCCAAACTACACAGCACCTCGGTATTCAGGCTACAGCAAAAACGGCTCTTTTGAAACCCGTTATCAACCTGTTCACCCAGTCTTTTTCTGGGAACAGGTATTTACTAAATACCTAAGGTGTAAACAATCAACTGATCGGATGTAGTGTACAAACAACCTTTATTTACTAGCTTTTGTTGCAGCAAATCTGTGAACAATACATATGATTCTTCTTTAGTGTGGGTAAAATAATAAGCCACACGTTCCTGCAGGGGGTGCTATGAATGCACAGGATTCATTTAGTCCAGTGGTGTCCACACTTTTTTGGCTGGGCCATGACCATTCTAAACCACTTTTTGGCTGGGCCATGACCATTCTAAAATAATGTACCCACATTAACAATTTAGACCAAGTAATTAGCATCAAGAAATATAATTACATCTATAACTGTTTTTAATTTTTTTTTTGATCTCCCAGCTTCCCTTTTCTTTTGCGATTTACTGGTAGAGAACAAATATTTTAAATAATGTTTTCTGGCTCAAAAAAAAAAAGCTATGCTTACTGCCAAGCTAGTATAACTTTATTTGCATTACAGCAACTAGCCAGTAGAGTTTTAAATACAGAATTGATCTGACAATTTGCAAAGGAAAGAAAATTGAGAAAACACAGAGAGAGGGCATCATCCTTGTTGATGAAAAGCACCATATACTTACAGTTTCCCATTTGTTCTGCCAATATGTCTGCATTGTCGTTAATTGACACATTACTAGGCAACAAACAAATAATTCCATAACTAGCTGACTAACAGATTTTCGGACATCAATCTACAGTTCCCACAGTTCTTTGGAATTTTAGGAACGGAATCACTATTCAGGCACATAGCTAATAAGCAATTAAAATTGTCCTTAGTTGCTGTCCCAATTCTTGGGCCATCTGATGTCTTATTCCTACATTTTTCACATCTTCAGTCAGCAAAGTCCAAGACAAATCTGCCACAGATCAATACTATGAACATCTACTGTATGTCAACGTAAAGATTAAATGTTGTGACCTAAACAAAACCTAAACAAGTTCTGACTTGATGACCAGGTCCCAGAATTGTGCATGCATTCCCTTCTCCGGGGTCTGAGGGAAAACTTTATGACGCCAACATAAATTCTCCACATTTGTAAGAAGTGTTTATAGTTATGAGGGGGTGGTCTACAAAAAAATCCTTGGCATATCTGCAATAACTAGGATTCATCGGCAGGGGGTCATGTTGAAAGAACTGTAGAATTTTGTTTGGAGGTCAACTGTTAAAATCAATGCTAGAGTCACAAAATGGTGTCTCTGTGTGTAGTTTAGTCTTTGTACTCAGGGCCTTGGACATGGAAACGATAGGAAATCCCTGTTTTAACATCCTGTGGCCTTCTGAGAAAAGGAGGAGGAGAGGAGGGGGAGGCGGAGGACTAGAAGAGGGGGAGTGAGAGGAGCACCAGCAAGAAGTAACCACAAGAGCTCTTTTGCCGAAACGCACGTATACTAACAAAGTCAGGAGTTTAGTGGGTTTTTATACATTCTGAACAACCAAGAGGAAACTATTTCTCGCCAGAAATAAGTCGCAAAAACTCAGTTCCAGTTAGTCCACCACTCCTCTCCAACAGGAAAAAAAGTTCCTCTACTCACCATGTGATGGAAAGGAGCGACAGTTTTTCAACTTCGCGGAGTTGAATTCGTCCTAGTAGCAAGTTTTCATTCCTTGTTTTCAAACTAATTCCGCTTTTGGGCTCTCAGTCTTCAGTATAAACGGTGGAGTATAGACTCTGAGATGAAGGAAGTCTCCATTTTCTCCTCCACACAGCAACTCCGGGCTCTTGACTCCTGAAGGAGCAGTAGAAATGCAGCACAAAGTTGGACACCCGCTGCATTGTTAACATTCCACAGGTCACGTGACGGAACCGACGCGCGTCAGCGCCGTGTGCAAAGATCGTCTATGGCGGACAGTATGCGCCACAACTTTGTGTTTTCAGCGACCGAGGAGTATCAGTTTAACTGGAAGACAGTGTACAGCAGGTCAAATGGATGAATTAAAATTGATTTAAAACAAGAAGCTTGGAAAAGAAAGAAATACTTTTAAGATAAAAGACAGAATTGTGGTCATAAACATGAAAAAGGACGTGATAACAGTACAATACAGTTGTAAGGTAAAAGTAAAAGTTGTGAGATAACATGACATCAAAATCTAAATTAAATGTTGTCTTGGGACCAGAGTCCTATGGGGATCCACTGTGAGAGATCTCGCATTTTTTAAATCTTTGATTGCAAATACTCTAGGCGGGGTTTCCTGCATTGCAGTTCTATATTTGATAAATAAATACAGTATCAGTACATAAGTCATTCAGTGGTGATGGTCTATAATAATGGTTGAAAACCTATAGCATTCAGCATCTTGTCAGTCCATCAGGTCTCACGTCTTATGAAAATAGGTCAGCTTGCCCCTTGAGTATTCTAAAATGGCAAATAAAACAGGGGCAAATTACTGCTAGTTATTTAAGTCTCAGTTTTTTTAGTTGCTAGTAGTAGGTACCACATGATATTTCTCTTTGATTCTTACAATTCTGAAACCAAGTCGCGGGCCAGACTGGGCGGTTCGGTGGGTCGAATTCAGTCCACGGGCCACCAGTTAATCTTCACTGCTATAGAATACGGAAAATTAGCAGACTAGTCTATCAAACAATACTGTAGGTTACTGTTAGGTCAGGTACATAACAGTGTCAGCCATCAGGGCTATACCAGCCTTAAAGAAAACCACATTACTGTTGACAGGAATGACAGAAGACAAGTGTTGTTTTCTTATTCAACACTACAAATGGGAGGAGGAAATAGCGTTTAACACGTCATAACCACCAACAATGCCGGTCAACAGTTAAATGACTTCAACCACGTTTGTCTATTTGTCCCAAGTCCCACAAAGTTACCTCAAAACAGGCCCCAGCCTTGTGTCCCAGCAGACACACACACACACTACAGTGGAATGTAGTCATTCTTCAGCGCGGTTACAATTAATTAGATCACGGCGAAGCAAAGCAGGGCAATCAGTAAGAATCTGTCTCAAATCAAAACATACATTCTTAGAGTGCAGAGTGCAACATGCTGGGCTGAACAAACTTCATTAAAGCTCATCATCAACAGAGTGAGTCAGAGAACACTCCTGGCCCGTAGAGAGTATTTCCCTTTCCTTAATTCAGTCCATCCCACTGAGTGTGGTAGTGATAGTGGGATGCAGCGTAACCGTGAAGAATGGTCGCATGATGCCGTTCTCTGACCTGTCCTCCTGCTGCACAGCATGAAACAATGTGTACGTTTGTGTTGAACCTAAGCTTGGAAACTCTGCTCTGTGTTTTCTCTCGACAGCACAGAGAATTCAGTAAAAATATACATTTTGTACAAAAAAAGAGAAGTAGCAACAGATTAGATTCTGAAAGTCTCAAATGGTACAAAGTGTGGTTTTATTTTTATATATTTTTTACATTTATGTAGGGCATTGAGTCTACAAGCTAAGCCATGCAAATGCTTTCACCTGAAAAGTTTTTTTGTAGTTTCAAGAATTGGAGCAGCTAAATCAGAAAACGATTTAAAGCCAAGTCAAAGTGCTGAATGCTCTAGTTAAAATTAACTTACAAACTCCCGATAAAAACAACAACAACAACCTACAGTAATTTCTGACCTCACCTTTGATTGTTTCTCCCTTTAAAATCATCAATCTGAAGTTCAAAAGTTGAAAGATTCAGCGGCATCTAGTGGTCAAGGTGCAGCAACGACCGGTAAACAAATCTAGGAATTCAATGAAAAACAAAAGGGAAACAAGAGAAACGCAATTAAAAAGATTGAGTCATCAGTCACCTTTGATTGACCGATGCTCTAAGTGCATTCAGTGTTAGTTAAAAGAAAAATTCATAATAAATTCATTCATAATATTCATAACAAAACAGGAACAGCAGCACATTAATTACCTCAATGTTTATTATGATCACTACATGGCCATCCATTAATCCAAACCCTCATTAACCGCGACGCGTTTCTACTTGTGCAGACGACACAGCTGCAGCTCATCAGCTGTAGTTTTGTCTACAACGTAAATCTGTTAAGTTTCTCCTGCTGTAGGCTGCACGATTTACTGTGCGGCCCAGGAATCTGGAGAAAAAGCTACTTCAACCAATGAACCTGTTGTCTGGGAGGAAATGATGAGTGAAGTCAGCAGCTGGAACAGAGTCCGCGGGGAATGACTGGACTTGAAAACTTGCAGAGTCTTAGATGCTACAGAACTGGACTGGATCCACCGCCAACACTGCAGTATGAGAGTGGAAAAACATGATCCTCTGCAAGTCCGGGACTTCTTTTGTCAGTTCATTTGCATAAGTTATGGCACGACAACTTAGAAATTGTGATTTTTTAAATCTGGAAAAAAAAGAACAGGTCGTCCTTGACTTACGTTAGAATGCTGTTCCTTCGGCGTGTGCAAAATTGGTTTTTATGCCGTACGTCAGAATGTATAAGTTTACAGGAGATGGCGACGTAACCACAAAAACGTCGTAAACGGAGGACCCCCTGTATTGTAACATCGTTATGCAAAAACGAGGACGCCCTGTATTGTAACATCGTTATCGGCACAAATACCACTGTTGTCAGTCAGTGATTGCAAAAACGAGGACCCCCTGTATTGTAACATCGTTATCTGCGCAAATACCACTGTTGTCAGTCAGCGATTTAAAATGACAGAAATAATAATTTACCATTGCAGATAAAAGCTTTCAAAACATTGTTTATAGCACACCCTTCAGGTAGGGAGTGCATCTACATGTTCTATAGCATAATGTCCCTACAGACTGAGCCATTAAGGTTAAAGAAGTGACATTTAAAGTATAAAAGTACAAACAGCATTTCAGTACCAAACATAGTGTTGACACAGGGACGTCGTAGCAGAGCGTGCCAAAAGGTCCAGAGCAGTAAAGGGATCTAGGAGGATCAGTAAAGGGATCTAAACGGATCAGTAAAGGGATCTTGACCTGCTTGAACCAGCAGTGGGACTTAAGAAGTTGGTGTTTTCTGAGGAAATTTCTCTAGCGGAGCAGCTGAGATGCACAGGTTGTTTAAGGCACAGGCAACTTGCACAATTTTATCAAAAGTGGTGAGGTTGGACGACCGCTCGGGGGCTGTGGTGAAGGAGCCCTCGACGGGCCCGGTGAGCATGGAGTACCTGCGTTTCACCATGGAGATCACCGTCTCCACGTGCTTCTGCACGCCCAGTGTCTCAGAGGCACAAACTGTCGACAGCAAGTCCTTCGAGCTTCCGTTTGCTGCTCCTTGGACGCCACCTGCGATTTGAAACACTGCTCCGCGGGCAGCCACGGAATCGGCAATGTCCAGATTGTGACTCGCCAACACGACGTCGCCCGGGAGAAGTTTGCACAGAAATCCGCAGCCCTCGGCCAGACTCTTATCACTGATGTTTCCCTGCACTCCCCTGGACACGAAGGTGACAACACCCTGAGGAGCCACACCTATCAGGTACTTTAGAAGATTGTAACCTGCTCCAAACCCCTGAGCGTTTTGCCCCACACTCTTTTGCTGGTCACCCTGAGCAAACGGCTCCTCAAAAGGCACAGTGAAACAGTCGATGATAACGGCACAGTCAGGGTGGGAGGCGCGCAGGGCTGCAGGAAGATTTTTACGGAGCTCTGCTCTAGAGGGCCAGAAGACGGCCGTGGGCACCAGAGTGGAGGACATGATGTTGACCATCCGATGAACCGTCCTGGTCACGGTGCTGGCTTTGACTCCAAAGCGATAGGCCAAGTCTTGGTTGCGGAGGTCCAGTCGTAACCGCATCAGCGTCAGCAGCAGCTGCTGAAATTTGGAGAGTCTGGCATTCTTCATTCCATCCATGTGAGGTGCCAGCAGCCACATGACTGTCTCCAGAACAAAAAAGTTTGGTAAACCAGTGTAAAACTTTACCTTCTCTGCGTCGTTCCTCAACGAGTTCTCAGACAGAGACATTTTCTCTACAGACTCCCTCAGAAGCTGGTTTTCCTTCTTCAGGACCCTAAGGATGTCTTCGAAATTGATTTGTGCCACTGGCACTTGAGAGAACTTTCCTTTTTTGCTGTCTCTCACAGGTTCATCCTCGCTGTCCTCATTTTCTTCATCTGTGCTGAGGGAAGACGCACTCTCCTCCACAGCTGCCTCCTGTTCTTTCTCCTCGGGACGCTCCTCCTGGTCCTGCACCCCCGCGGAGGACGTGCCCTGGCCCTGCAGGAACAGCAAGGCATTAGCCGCCTCAACTCGCGCCTCCTGTTTGTCAGGAACTTCTGAGGCCGCTGATTCCTTCATCTCTGGTGATAAGGGAGCTGTGGTGAACACTGAGGGAACATAATCTGGTGAACGTGGATTTTTCACCTGTTTACCTGCGAGATGAAAAGTAGGAAAATATCAAGAAAAACATGACTCGTGTTCCCCGATATTGAAACCATATAACCCCATGAAATAAAAATAGGTCCCTATTAACCACACTGTTACAAAAGCACAATGGAAGCAGGTTACAATTCACATGTACTCTTTTTTTTTGTCAGTGTTCCCCGATATTGAAACCATATAACCCCATGAAATAAAAATAGGTCCCTATTAACCACACTGTTACAAAAGCACAATGGAAGCAGGTTACAACTCACCAGTCAGTCACACACACACACATATATTCAATTCAATTAAATGGGAATATTTAATAATAATAATATTAATTTTTATAGCATTTAAATGGGACACCAGCGCCACCTGCAGGATCAAAGATGAGCCACATATTCTCTGTTTAGAGTTGATCTTTATTAAATTTTAGATTCTAACTTAGGTTTAGATGTCGTTGCAAACAAGCTCTTTATTTTCTTTTTTTAAATTTAAATTTTTAGCATATTCTCTCTAAATTTCCGTATATGGCCCTGTTCTTCACTTATATAGAAAATGTATAACAAAAAATGAAATGAAATATAAGACTGGAACCAGGGCTGTGATATAATGTTCCGGAGTTGAACATATTTAGCCACTGCGTCTGTACATGTACCTGAGATAAAGTGGGTACTACACAGTCGACTGCCGTCATTGGGCACCCAGCCCTCCCGATTCACAGCCGCTATCCACCGCTGCTTCCTCTCCGGGTCCCGCGGGAAGCGGTAGAAGGATAAAGTGGTGCCGGGGGTCCTTCGGTTCCTACAGCCCGCCACCACACAGGTGTGAACCATAGTAAGGCCACGGAGGAGCGTGGAGGAGGTGCGTGCTGTTTACCACTGGATGTTTTGACTCCCAAAATGGTGGACGAGGAGAGAGTGAAGGAAGGAAGAAAACGGAGAAACCAACATACTGGTCATGAGCGGACGTGCATTTTGAAGTGCTGATTGGTCGGCCTGGAGTGACGTCACTGAAACGGTTACGCTCACACGAAGCTAAACGCTGTGGAGCATAGTTAGCATCAATTGAATGGAAAATGTAAAAAAACAAACAAAAACAAGACGTCATCTACATGTGCGTTGCATTTAAACATTACAAGACGTCTTCTACATGTGCGTTGCATTTAAACATTAATCTTGAAGCTTATTTACAAGTGCATAATATGCTTAACCCTACACTATTATTTAAAAAACGGTCAATTCTACAAGGAAGGAGGAATAAAGCTAAATGATTGATAATGATTTTACTAATTTTATTTAATTAACCATGACTAATTGATTGATAACACAAACATACTAAAAACAGTAAAACGTTTAAATATATTTATCAACACATCTCCCTTTATTTATACGTATATACAGCAGAAACAATCTTAAATCTTAAGTTGTAAAACTTACAAGCTAGCATGGTCTGACTCATAAAACATACTGATCCAGACAACTGTGCTTTTTTTGCTTAATGAGAATTAAAAACTGATTTAATTGAAGAACGTTTTGTAACACTTTTTTTCTAATTTAGTTTTGTTTCTTTCTAACAATAGATATGTAATTTACAATAAATATACAATTTTCCAAACCAACATTCTCTGAACAACCACTAGGCGCCCGCGCAGAGCATGTACACAGAGGTGTCCCTGGCTCCTCTCACGTGCTGCAGCCTGTTTAGCTCGGTCAGACACAGGATGTATACAGGAGTCTTGGCTCCAACATTGCCGATCCTTTTTAGTTCATCAAACTGAAGCTCTGTCCCTCTACCTGTAGAGGGCACCAAAATAACACAAATAAAAACAAAAACGAGGTTTAACTATGATACTAATGTAAGGTACGTTTTAACTTATTAACACAACTAGTAAACAAGTAACTGATAAGTTAAATTTGATAGAAAATTAAACAAAAGTTATTTTTTTCTGGAAAAATATTGACAGTAATAAACAGTCTTTGTTAAAACATATAGTCAACAATGAAGAACTACATAAAACCTCTCAAGTTCTGCATCATCTTCAGGTTCAGCCCGCCTTTGTTATGCATATGGTGACGTAAGGACAGTGATAATAGTGATAATAGATTTCCATTTAAATTTGATCACTGTGAAACCGACCTGGAAACTCGGTGATAAAACTGTTGATGCTGTGGACCATCTGGTTGAGGTTGTTCAGGCTGATCTGCCTCAGGTAGTTTGGTAATCTCAGGTACTCGCTCTCAGACACCAGAGACAGACAGGCAGCGCTGAGGGGAGAAGACAGGCTACATTTACAGCAAGTCAGTCAGCAAGAATAAAGACAAAGAATACATTACAATTTGGTTTTCCTGCTATTCCGATTACAATTTAAAAGAATCAGGATAACACCCACAATTGACAGTTAGGACCAAGAACAATCATATTTAAGATTATTACCTGTTTACATCTTTTGCTGGTCTGACATTTGGTTTGACTACAGCCACGTCGGTCCTTTTCAGCTGAGCCTGAGAAACAAGCTGGAGATAAAAATAATTAAATAAATAACACAATGAGACAAAACCTTAATTGCTGCTGAGTTTTTACTGGAATTATTAACTTACTTTACAGATGTCCTGTGTCACTGAGCTGAGGTCAGGCATCTCTGGGGTGCTGGGTTCCTGCTGGTCCATCCTCATACGAGGTGTCCCCAGTTTGAACTCTACAGTGGCTCCATCTGTCTCCAGACTGTTGTCACTCAGGTCCTTGTAGACATTTATTTGCTCCTTGGTTCTCTTCTGAACTTTTGCAGTTTTCTGGGAGACCTACAGTTTAGAGGAATATCTTAGAGAAAAAAAAACATTTCTTGTGAGGCTACAAAAATGTTTACAGTAACTTACACTTTGTAGAGACATTCCCAGGAGAGACTGCAGGTTCGGCATCTCAGGCATCTTCTCCTCCTCCTCACTTAGCATGGATGTATTGGGCACATTGTACTCCCAGGGGCGTTTGGAGCCGCCGACTCCGTTATGACGTGGTGTTGTAAGGTCAAAGGTGCTGAGGTCGTCATCAGCAGGCACATTGACTGGTTTAGGCTGCTGTTCACTTTGGCATTGCTGATGTTAAAAAATTTTAAAAAAGACATGTTAAGATATCCATTTTCCTTGAATATGATCACAATCAAGTTGACATTTTAAAAACTTTTAAATCTTAAGAGTACTTACAGTAGGCACCACTTTCATACCTTTTTGTGACTGAAAAGTCGATTCACATACGGGGTCTGAAATTCTGGGACATCAGGTGTCGTAGTGTGTCCTGGGCTAACTGATAGTTCTGGTTCACCATCTACTTGCTCAGATGGAGAGCGGTGACCATTTGTCGTTTTCATTTTGAGGCCTGGGGTGCAGAATACAGGAACTTCTGGTGACTTAAAAAAAAAAAACAAAACAAAAAAAAACCCCACAACAAATAAACCATCAAATTGTTACCTTTTGTTGGTAAACTTTCCTTTAAAAAATCCACAGGTTTGTTTTGTAGCCTGGTTAATCAGAAAACATTATTTAAACAAATATGTGACAGGCTAAACGATGAGATGAAATTTTCAGATCTAAAATGAGCAGTTATGATCCATCTCCGCAGACAGAGGCTGATATAGTCATAAAAACTTTTGATTAAAAGTGACAGCCCCTTACAAAAAACAAAAACAAACCCTTACGTCACCTTTGGGACTCAACGTCCTTCCTAAGCAGTTCCACGGTGAGGTCCTGTTTCAAACACTTTGTTTGTTCAGAAATGTCAAAGATGTGCATCTCAGGGGTCCGGAGTTCATCATCATCCATATGTAGAGCACATTTGGAGGTTAAGGACATAGTGGGTGGGGCAGGGGTATTAAACGAAGGTGGTGCGACGGTGATCTCAGGCATAGGAGGGAGCTCAGAGAGCCACTCTGATTTACCCAGATCTCTCTTCAGCTGCATCTCAGACAGACCAAAGTCTGACAGCTGTGGGGTTCTCAGCAACTCATCAATGGGCCGGGGTCCAGATGTCACAGGGGACGAGGTCAGATCATCTCCAGGCTCCCCGTGTCCTTCACCATCATCTTCATCAGTTGACCCGGTTCCACCCTCACTTCCAGCTTCATCCGTAGTCTCTGAATCCTTAGTTTTTTCTTCTGTGTAATAAAAAGTGTTATATAAAATAATTGTGTTCCTTGAGGTAACAGTAAAGAACGTAACATGTTTCTTTTTAAATGTAGTAAAATGACTTATTCTATTTAGCTTCCTCCATTACACAGCTTCTTTAAACGAGGTGCATTTCACAACATGGGCCACTTAGCCGCGGGCTAATCGTGGGCAAAATTTGTTGACATTTGGAAAGATGAAAAATGGTACTGGCTATAGAGAAAGATAAGTTTGTAACATGAGGTCAGACCTGATTGCTTGTCATTACTTGAAGATAATTTTAGATATTTTAAAAAATATATTCTACACGTGCAATTAAGATTAGTTTTAACTGAAATAACTGTTACTCACTGTTCGGCCCCTGAGCGTCTCTGGGCACTTGATAACCGTATTTTTCCCAGTGTTCCGTCAGTGTCTGGATGTCCTTACTGACCCGCTGCTCCATCAGCCTGCAGGCTTTAATAAAGGTGTTCACCTCATTCTCTTGTACTTTCTGCTGAGCCAGCTGATTCTGCACCTGACCCTGTATAGAAACAGGCCCATTAGTGTATACTTTCATAGAGCTGGGAGCTTTCATCTGCATTGAATTGTGATAAAACTGGAAAAAATGCATTATGACAGTCTCATAAACTATGACTTTTAATATTTTAATTTAATTTTAATTAAATTGACATTGCATGCAGTGAATTGTGTTTCCTCCCCCCCATGGATGAATAAACGTGATTTTGACAAAACATTTGATGCTGAGCAGGTTAAAATTTTACAGAAAATTGTAAAAGTGGCATTTGTCAAAAAAAAAAAAAAAAAGAAGTGCAGAAGTTAAAAGTACACATTTTCAAGCCTAAATCTCTGGCATACTTAACGTCTTTTAAATCAAAGCACAGGATGTCAACTACCCGAAAAACCTTCTGTGTTAACTTAATAACTGGCATCTAACTTGTACATTTGTACATGTACACAGGCACATATACACAATTATTAGGCAAGTTGTATTTGATGCATGTGATGGAGCATTGTCTTGCATAAACATCAAAGTCTTTTTGAAAGATGCAGACTTTCTCCTGTACCACTGCTTGAAGAAAGTGTCTTCAAAACATTGGCAGTAGGTCTGAGAGTTGATTTTGAGTCCATTTTCAACACAAATAATTATGCACCTTGATATAGGGGGTTCATCTCCTTAGGCTACACCCTCCCTCGTTATATATAAATACACATCACCTGATATGCATTAAATCCAATAGGCATTCAAATGTATACAGCCTGGAGTTGTAACATATGGATAAAACGACGAGAACAAACATCCCGAGTATCCATCGTCATTTTTACCTTCAGGTCGACGAACTCACACTTTAGTTCGTGAAAGGCTCGAGTCCCTTTCGCTGTGGCTTCTGAAAATTGAAATAGATATTTAACTGCCATATAATCTAATAAAATATATATAAATAGTTAATTCAATCAATTTTTCATTGAACGACTCACCGCCGTCTTCCTCGTTGTTACGGTTTTCAAAGGACCGCTGCAGTTTGGCAGTTTCTGACTCTAGAGTCGTTGCCATTCTTCTCAATTTGACAAAGAAAACACTTGTCGGGTCCATTTTGACAATAAACTTGATGTAATTAAACGAGGTAAATTAACTGAAATTACAAAACGTCACTGTTCCACAGCCAAGTTACTCTGTGTTTTCGAATTTGGCGCCCCTCCTTTTCCGGCCGTGGCCGGAAGTTCACTCCGTCGTTGTCAATTTTGTTCAGCGCCCCCTGTTGCAACATTTAGAACAAAGCGGAAGGCTACTGCAAAGACAAGCGAATACACATTTACATTAATTTCTATTCAACATAGTTTAAATGACACTCTTCATAATATTGATTTCTGTTACTATTTTTAAAAATCTGTTTAGAAATGTTATTTTAGATACATATTTTTCACAGATAAACCTCTTGGGCATTTGTCTTTTATACCTATTCTGTTGAGTTTTACAGCCTGAAATTTTAAATTCAATACATGACCCAAATACGGTGCAAATTTAAATCTTTAATTTTAAAGTTTTAAATTTTAAGCTGAGCCAAAATTATGCCTTTATTGTCAGCCTAATATATATGAAAAAACACATGTAATTAAGTAGTTCAAGTACACATGTTCTATTGAAGGTTATTCTCTCTGATGGATTAGGTGAAATGATGGATATATAAAATGACCGTAAAGAGAAAAATGGTGGTTGCTTGGGTTATATTTATTTTTAAATCCCAGGTGACCTGCAGTTCTCTGGGATGACACTGCCCAGGAACCTGCTCTAAATATAACGCCTGATCAGGTAAAGGTTTCGTTGAAACATCAGTCTGCTGCACTCACTGGGTATATATATATATTTTTACAGTTCCATATTGTACTCCAAATGAACAGGCTCAAGCTTTTTCCTTTCTCTTGAATACTTAAAAAATATTTCCTACAAACAAATAGATAGCCTTATACAGATATGCAGTCTTCGTCTCATCTTCCTACACTTCCTATACGTTTATAACAGCAGGATGCTGGAGGTGAGACAACTCAATATATAAAAATAACAATAATAATAATAAAAAACAACTAAATTTAAAGCAGAATTGTAGTTACGTGGATCCCTCTGATCAATGACTTTATTTCTTATGCCAACAAAACTAAGAATAAGAAAGTTCTACTTCGTTTGGCCCGCTAACGAAATTAACGTCCACCCCGCCTGAGGACAGTTTCATAGAAGAAATCTGAGCACCGTGGAGCACAGCAGAACAGGATTAAATATTTAGATTCCAGACCAAAGAGATAAATGTGACAGTAAAACATGCAAGTCCTGTGGGGAAGGAAACACGCTGCATCTGTCTTTCTTGGTATGAAAATAAACTGAATGTTTAATGTAACCTTCGCATGTGCTTCTTGTGAGCTGAGTAAGCAGGTTTGTTTTTTGCCTACTTTGTTGCAAAACAGAAAATCTCTTATCCACTAAAAAGTGCTGCTGCAGAGGTCGACCAGGCTTCAAGGTTAAAATGAAAGGAGGTATCCAGAGCCTGAAAGAATCTTTGTTCTCACACGACGACATCAGCTGGCTAAAGGTCAAATGACATGTTCCACTGCACTTTTAGGAGCATTGACATGTCAAACTGTTTAAACGTTGCTTTAGCTGATACCCATTAACATGGTTATTATGTTAACCTCCACTCTCAACCTGACTATTACTCACCGTGTTTCAAACATCTATTTCAAGGCACCAAAACATCTGCAGAGAACACCCAGCATACTCTGTGTTCTGATCTTGAATAACCTTACGCTGGACAACCCTGAGGATTATTCAAAGGCATAATGAGCTGCGCACTCTTACAGTACCAGTACTCTGTTCTGCTAAAAGAATAAAAAAAAAACACCATTGAGGTCATTGACGTTTTTACACAAAAATCCCAGATGACTCTGTGAATAACTTAAGAGAATTAAGAGCAGCCTGATGGGTTTTAATGTGAAGTACACCCGCTGTGTCTGCCACCAGTGAGAACAGAGATGTGCTACTGCCTCGCTGCTCTCCAACTGCTAGTAAAACAATAAAGGTCTAAACAAAGAGGCTTTGTTTGTTTTTAGAAATATTCCTACACAGAAAAAAAATAAATATTATATATACTGTATATATTATATTAACTGATACTGATATATCTGGTGTTCCCTGCTCACTAAGGTGATGGGTTAACGCAGTGTTTCTCAATTATTTTCTGCCATACCCCCCCTGGGGGATAGAATTGTTTTCACCCTCTGCCCTCCCAAAAATAAATCTTTGTTTATCTGTACAAACCACTGTATTGAGTTGCTGGAACCATCATTCTGCCCCTGGTTATCAAAATAGATTAATAAAATGAGCTGCAATGCTGCCATCTAGTGACAAACTATTTTTAGGGCACACATCATTTGGCCAAACCCAGGCATTGCATTATCAGGTTTCATTATCGGAGGAAAAGCCGATAACGGATCTTACAGATTCTTACAGACATAATTATGCAAATATCGGGACGTTAATATTGGACGGACAATATTATCGGACATCCCTAGTTAGCACTCAAAGCATACGGGTTTGGTGTCAGTGTTGTATATATTTACCCAAGTTTTATTCTGGAATGGGGGTATGTATCTATCTCCAAGTATTCCGGTTTTTTTAATGGAAAAAAACTCAAAACAATAAAACCCAAACCAAACCTGCAGTATTTCACCTGTTTTGCTTTTATTATATGTATGCCCTGTTTCTAAAATGCAACATCAACAATGCAGCGAAGATCCCATCTTTCCCGCAGAGGTCTTGTGTTTATTGCTAAAAAGTGACGAGTCAGACGCCATAAAAATTCCCCGGCGAGAGTCACAACTGTCCATCTCAGTAAGCAAAGTGAGTAAAGGGTCCAAGCCTGTCCGCGTTCTCCTCCGACCGTCCATCAGAACATGAAATGTCCTTGGAAAAAGCCATGAAGTTCGTCTTCTTCATCCCCGCTCTCGGCTTTGATCTGCTGAGCCAGCCGTTCAAAGTCTTTCCTGATGACTGGGAAACCGTCGAGTCCTCTCCAAAAGTCTCGATAGGCCAGGGTGAAGCACTGGCACTCGGTCAGAGCCGTCACCGTTGCTGGGTGTTTGCCTTTGGTCAACATGCAGGTCTCTGCAGCCCACACACAGAGGTGAACACAAGTGTGTGGTTACTGGTGGGAATAACTTTCAAGACTTTCTTTATAAATTTATGGGAGATGGTGATGTAACCAAAAATTGCCTTAAGTCAAGGACAACGTAAACCGAGGACCCCCAGTACAGCTAGGTTCTACTGCCACCTAGTGTAACGCTAAAATAATAGTTTTTCTACAAAGGAAAGGTTCATTTATCAGTTTCCAATAGAAACCTCTACTATAGCAGGCATGGGCAAACTAAGGCCCATGCCAAAAATGATTCAAATATTTTAACATTTCAGCCTTTATGTATGACTTTTACATTTGAATTATATAACTTATTTATATTATCATTGTACTTCTGCCTTTTCCCTGCAATACCCACATTTCCCCAATAGATAATGCCAAAAACGATTCAAATATTTTAACATTACAGCCTTTATGTATGACTTTTACATGTCTGCCTTCATGTATGACTTTTACATGTCATTTTTCTTAGTTCACACGAACGCTCCATCTATTTGCTCCTAACCCGGCCCCGGACAATTGTGGCCCACGAGTCAAAAAGTAGTCACGATAATGATGGTTGTGTATACACTAATTGTACAATACCCATTAAAAAAGTTACAATTAATTTTGAAGCCAAAAAACTAAAAAAAATTAAAATCAAATGACATCTTTTCCTAGAAACATAATCCTTGATAATTCAGATAATCCACAGTCATCAGTTCTGTCTGGTTGAGAGTAGGACCAGAGTGATGCTAGATCTGTGGATTATCTCGTACAAAAATAACTGCAGTGCCAGTGATTAAAAAAGTGAAGATCAACAACCTCCCGAGTAAACAAGTGTGGATGGATTTTGAATATATGACTATACATCATATCAGACCAACCTCCAAAAAAGTCTCCGTCGCACAGCTCCTTCTCTTCCGAGTCCGACTCCATGAGAACCTGGCCATGCTCAATGAAGAACATTCGATCTCCTGGGACGTACTGGTGGGCGATCACGTCTCCTTCCTGGAAATGCTTGTAGTCCAGCTGTGAGAGGACGGCCCTGATGAAGCTATCGTCGTAACCCTGAAACATTGGTGCTTTTCTGAGCAGGTGGCTGCACATCACCAACATGATTTGCTGAAAAAAGGGAATGGAATAAATGAGAAATTCAGACGAATAGGAAAATAGACGGCAAAGCACAGACATGCTGGACCGACTAGATGCAAATGATTGTAAAACAAAATAATGTAACAAGTGTTCAAACTAGAATATTTTGGTTACAGTACGATCTTCTGACCTCTTTAAGTGCAGACGACACTGTATCTAAAATGTCCCTGTCATCGAACCACTTCCCTCCGTAGCGAGCCTGGTAGTAGTTGGTGATGCGTAGCTGCAGCTCAGGCGGGAGCTTCATGAAGGTCATGTAGTGCTCCAAACGGCTCATCTGTGGACAGTCATTTTTACTTTAATATTAGGGTACATACATACAAAAATGATTATTCTGGCCATAATCATTTTTTATAAAATGTATTTAATTTTAAGTTGAATGACAAGACACTTTCACTTTTTCACTTTTCATTTTTTAAGATCATATATATAATTTGCACAAAATAAAAAGAAAATATATTAATCATTATTCAAGCATGACATTGCTCAAGTTGCCAAAAATGCTAATCATATATAAAAAAATTAAACATGAAATGAATTTTATTGCTGATGTCACCACTGTCTTATAACATATTCAGTATTAAATATATGTCATTTTCACCCATACAGACCTTGCTCTTGTACTCTTTCGACGCTGGGTCGACATTGGCAATCATGGCTGTAGCGTTAGCCACCAGGACGGTGTACATTAGACAACCGGAAATCATGCTGACCATGACAATCCACATTTCCACGTAATCTAGGATCAAAGACATCAGTTCATTTGATCTACCCGTGGGTGTCTGTTTTCTTAGCGTGCAGCTGAATTCTTACTTGTTGGGGCGTCCATGGAGCCGTAGGAGAGAGCGATCATCTGAGAAAGAGCCCGGAAAACTCCCCAAGAGTACTTCTCGATTACTGTGGCGTTCTGGAAACAAAGAGTTGTTTTGTTTTGTTTTTCTGTTTTTTAGGAATGCCTGGTCTCTGTAGGGTTATCCCAGGTTCTGTTCTCCAACTGGGTCAGCTAACTCTGGGCTTTCCTCTTTTGACTTTGTTTTCATGGGACAAAGAACAGCTGCCACAGGTGGAAACCACCCTGGTAGCCATCAATGAAATGATGAATGCACATGGTGTTGTCTTATTTTCCAATGCATTAATCATGAATTGTTCTGCTGCTTCCAGTCATTTACACTTTTTTTTAAAAGTTTTTAGTTTTGAATCCAATCATATTTCAGCCTCATGTGTTGCTAGGTTGAAAGAAATCTGCCCTGAGGCCCTTTAGAATCAGTAGTGCCTAAAATGAATTGGCCATGAGATTCTTTCTTGAACCAATCAGATTTTGAGTTGGCAGATAGATGCTTTAAAAATAAATAAAAATATTTACATATTGTAATTTTAGAATATTCTTTTTGATGCACAGTATGGTACAGTCCAGTTTGTCTGAGCTGTGGCTGAATTGTCCTTCATGGCTTTGTTGCTTCAGTAATGGCGTTATTACGCCTATTGATCGTTTCTATCGACTTATTGACGTCAGCTATGGATTCATCCAGACAGGACGCCACTGAAAGCCCAGGTGTAATACATGGTTCTACTGTGGGATCTAAAGGTTTCACCATCAGGTTCTCCTTGCGGACCCAGCAGTCCTCAGGAAACTCCTCCAGCATCGGGACGAAGTACTGGATGCAGCCATTCCAGTGACACAGCAGGAAAATCATCATGAACAAAGAAAGAACGCGGAAGGCCAGGCGGACGACTTCCAGGTTTGCGTTTGACACCTGTCACAAAGAGACGACACAACGTTTGATTAACGGTTAAATGTAGCACCAGGTAACTCTTCAGTGCAAAAAAAAAAAAAAGATTTTCGTAAACCTTGAATGTTTTTAATGTTTATTGGTTAGTGTTAAATGAAATTTTTTTTTTGCATCCGAAAAGCTAACAAATCAGATGGCTACACATTCATAAACGATTTATAAATACAGTTTTAAGTCGAAATCTACATTTCTGCATGTTTTAGAGTGGAGAACAGACATGCTCTAGTGGCTCAAATACAGACCAAAGGTCAACGAGAAGGGTCACCATAGTCTGCAACAGGATATGCCATCAGCGTCTGATATAGTTTTCTTTTTTTTTTACTATCACACTACAAAATAAATGAATGTACAGAAAATAAATATGGCGATAGAACTTGATCTTTCGCTCAAACGGCTGATTCATCAAAACCATCTAACGTTGTCCTCGACCTACGAGGACAACACAGAAAAAAAACCTAAACGGAATTATAAAAATCCCAGTGCTGCAACATCTGGACTGGAACAAAGCACGCGAGCCAACACGGATGGACGGAGTCGTGCCAACAGCAGCTGTGCTGAACTGAACCCCTTCAGGCACAAACAGAACAGAAGGCAGATGACCTGACACAACCTTCGGGCAAGTTCAACTTAAACCTGCGACTAAAGTTTAAAGGAGCTACCAGGCGACAGACCACGTGACTGCGGAGCGTTTACCTGAAGCCACTTATTTTAGCCGCAGGTTGATTAAAGGTTAAAAGTAAATTCCATCCTGAATAATACAGAGGAGGCTGGACACGGAATATTCTGTTTCATCACGGGATGAAAATGAACTTGGTGTTCATCCTGAAGCCGCCTCCACATTTGTCTTTTGTCTTTTGATGCCGTCAGCACTCGAGTTCTGACGCCCGTGATTTAAAGTGAATTATGGATCGATGGGCTGCATATTTGCTGTCGCTTCTCCTTTTACAAGTGACATTGTAAGTGTTCAAAGTCACTTGCCATCTGAGTCAGGTCTGCTAAGGTGTCTGCAGGCGGGAGAAAGGTTGATTGTGTTTCAGGGCTGAGCCTTGGAGACAGTCTGGCCGTGGAAACTTACTTTCTCCACCTCGTTGAAGAACCTGACCAGTCTGGAGACTCGGGCCAGTCGGATCAGACTGATGATGCGAACAAACATCAGAATCCTCATCACCTTGTTGGTCTTGGTGGGGTTGTCCTCACTGTGGTACTGCAGGTCCTGGGTATTTGAATAGAAAATGTATTGGTTAAAATATTTCAAAGAAGACAGTCCTAATATTACTTACTTCAGAGTAGATTAGGTTAGGTTAGGTTAGATTAGGTTAGGCTAGATTATTTTTTGTTGACACGTTGATGTACTAATAAAAATAAATAATAAAATATAATAAAAAATAAAATATGTAGATATTCTGAAGCTATATTTCCTCCATATTTACTGTACATGAGAAAAAGAAAATACTGTCATCTGCATTATTGTCTTCCGTATTGTTTTTTTTTTTTTGTTGACACGTTGATGGGCGTGTGTGTGTGTGGACCAGAGAGGGGCTTCTGTGTGTATGTACCTTAAACCTTAAAACTTTTTGTCTGATAATGTTCCGTTGCATTCAAAATGTGTTGTCATTTTCTTTTACCGCAAACAGCAGGATGTAGCCAATGGGAAAAGCCGCGATGACATCTGGTACGAACCAGGTCCGCAGGTAATTGAGCCTGATCCTCTTGAGATCCAGGATGGCTTCCTGAGAACGAGAACAGAGCAGCGAATTTAGCATTTGGACGAAAATGATGCCTCACGGCACCATGAGAAGTGTAATATAACACTCACACGGTTCTAATACTTTACTTTTAAATTTGGGGTGATATTTTGGAATTAAAATCCTCTGAAGCTAATGAAATTAAATGCTCATTTGCTCATTTAATTTTGAATTTCATACGCTACAATTTGGTCACCATATACCTATCAGTGCTAACCTTTAGCAATATATATATATATATATATTTGTTTGCCTTCAGCCTGATATAAGGAAGGTTCTTCATAATACATTTTTGGTTAACTTATAGCTAACCTAAACAGCTAGCTACATGCTAACCCAGTCATACATGAATGGGCCATTTCTGTACAAAGAGCTAATGTTAATTATTCATGTAGCTCTGCCAGCACACATACAATCTGGCAGTAAATCTCAAGTACTGGGGCGGCCCCCCCTCAGGGGGCACGGTGAGGTGGGCAGGGAAGGATGGGCGTGAGAGGCTACAAATGGAATATGGCCCTCTGGACAGAAATGTGCCGTTGTCGTCGTGCTCGAACGATACACAAGCCTCCAGTCACTAGGTGGCAGCAACTCATACACTGGTTTGTAGAGATAGAAAATACATATTATCAGGTTCTCAATAGTATTTCAATTCGAGGGTTGGGAGGGGCACGACAGAAAATAGTTGAAAACCTCTGATTTATGGTAACTAAAATAACTGAACATTATTAATTTTATTTTTCTATGAGGCAATATTTAATGTAAGACTTTGGTTGTTTTGATCTCTGTACTTATTTGACTGACAGTCAGGTATGCAAAATAAAAAATAAAAAATCGAAATCACATAATATACATGGCAAAAACGTCTTAGAGATTTTCCAGGCTGCAGGAGTAAACAGTATCCTGTTTGAGGAACTGTCTACCCAGGGATGAAAAGTGCCCACATTAGAATATTATGAGGGCATTTTGCCCAGAGCACCTGCAAATGTTTGACCCAAATTCCAACAGAAAAAAGCCGAGTTTGCAAAACAGAGCAGATAGGTCAGTTTGTTCTGGCTGAGACATAAACAAACAGGATATAGTCCACATGATTGAAGGTGGTGCCGACCATAGTTCAGGTTCATTTCTGCACAATAATCACAGTTCAACAGCAGGTGAGAATTGCACTGCGACCGGGAGATCAGGGGGAAAGTTTGTTAATCCGGTCTCTCACGTTGACTAGATTACAGATGGGATCGAGGTTTGTGTTAATGTGCGTGTGTGTTTGTGTGTACTTGTCCTCAGAGGGATTAAAGTCTCCTAAAATAGAGCGAAGCCACTCTCACCTCCATGTCCTCTGCTATGATGCCCATACGGAAATTCAGGCCCACATCTATCAGGAACAATGTGTCTGAAAACACGTTAAACCCTTCCCACGCCAGGCCACTGGTTGCGTCCAGGAAGGCAATCTCCATGGGAAGGCCGATCAGGTTGAGGAATGTGATGGCCACCATGCACATGATGTAGTAGCTCCTGTGGGACAAGGAAGACAAGCCCTTTAATGTCATGAGTGATTTTCAGTAGAAACGGTGGCGTTATTATGAACACCAAGTTGTCAGAAATCTGCTGACGCTCGTACTGTATCTGCAGATCTTGTTTCCCAACTTCGGGGGGTTGAATCCGAGGTTCAAGTAACTGCGTTCTCTGATCCCGCTTGTTTCATTCCATCTCTGTTTTCACTTGGGCGGATCGCCTTACAGACTAATAATAACGATACTGTATGGATTGAGCAAAGCCTTAAGAAGCCATCTGATCCTTTCTGCTTCAATTACCCCGCTCTTTGTCCACAATCCTGGCTTTAGACACACAAATCCAGGAATGGAACACAAAAGTAATATTGTGTTCATTCGGATTTCAACAATCTACACGCGACCTGGTTCATCTAACCTTTCTGTCCCGTGTCGTTTGCCTGATTACAGTAGCTGGAGACACTTGGACTTTAATCATTTTTAGAAAAAAAAAATACACCAAGAAAATCCTCACTATTTTTAATGAAGTTTGAAAACATGTGCAGAGGTTAGCTAAGTTTTAATGAACATATTTTTCCTCAATTAAAAAATGAAATCTTGATCTCATTCTTATTGTAATGTAATTAACCAATTTGTGGAGTCAGACCGTAGCACCACACCTCCTTAAATCCTCATCCTTCATCGGCTTTGCTATTCATCAGCATCTGCTATGAAACGCCCCCTTGTCTCCTACACAACGTTCAATCTTCCGGCACCTCACGATCTCTCCGACCTGAGCCTTCCATACCTCCAGTCCTGGACACTGTGATCCATCAGCTTGCCTTCTGTCCTTCACCTCCTCATCCTCCTCGGTTGTGGGCATCGAGCCTTTAACTCTAGTCTGTACGACCTACTGTAATTTCTAACCTCTAGAGAGATTTATTTAGAGTTAGAAAACAGCATTAGAAATAATTTAGAAAAAAACAATTATTCTTGTTTACAACTCAGATCATGTCTAAATGTTGCTAAATTCTGCAGACTGTGTTTATTTTTCCCCCCGACAAAGCAAGAACCTCTCTGGTTCTCACACAGATATCGCCTGTGTTTTGCAAGAAGGCAGAGAGAGAAAGAGAGAAAGCCGGGAGAGCGCTGTCCTATTGCTGCTGTGATACCTCAACACCTTCAAAACATGAAATCTTATTAGGATGAAAGGAACTAAGAAACATAGAAAAACCCCATGAGTTTGAATCAGAACAACATCTTAAATCCTCATTTACTGATTAATCGTTTTCATGATGACCATCGTGGTTGGAGGAGGAGCTTGAGACAAAGTCAAAACAAGAAAGAGTTAGGACCTAAAAGTACTGCACCAGAAATAAAACTAGCTGGTATTGAGTGGAGGGCTAATAATAAATGTGCTCTTGTGAGGTTTTTTTTTTTTTTTTTTTTTTGGAGCTGCTTCTGAATTCGAGGTGAAATGAAATTTTGTAGATGAAGATGAATTTGTCCTTAACTGTAAATTGTTGAGTTAAAAATAGAACTCTTCTGCTGATCATCATAATACCATATGGACAGACTGTGGTAATGATGAAGATGAAGCCCATGGACTTGGTGATCCCCAACAGCAAAATGAAGTTAAAATTGCCTCTCAAACCCAACGACTCAAGACTAAGTTTCACCTCATGACGCTGAACGGGTGGATGACAAAGATCCTGCTCTTCAGCTGCCGGATGCACTCCTTCTCCACGGCCACCTCGCTGCCGTAAATGTACAGCGACTGTCTGTTTATCTGCGGCAGGAGCAGGGCTCTCCATCCGCAGGTGGCCACGGTGAACACCACAGCTGAACTTCTGGCTTTCTCCATCTCCCCAAAGTTTCATCCACTCCCATCAGTTGATCACAAAGTGTAACCCCGGTGCTGCTCCTCCTGCTTCCCCTGCTTCCTCTCTCCTCTTCCTCAGGGATCCTCGGCGTCTAAAGGCGAAGTCCTGACCACGTTTCGTGACCACAAAACACTTTTTATTTCCCATCCAGACCTCCACACCTCAGGGCTTGGTGAGGCTGTGTGAAGCGAGGCGAGTGGAGGCCAGCCGTTCACATCTCTCTCTCTCTCTCTCACTCTCTCTTACCTCCTTCCTCCCCCCTCCCTTTTTGTCAGTCTTGCTCCATTCCTGCCCCCACCCTCCCTCTGGTACACCTCTTTTCTTCTTCTTCTTGCAGGCTCATCAACTATTCAGAGTCTCTGTCTCATCCTCTCATGAGTCAGGCCATGTCAAGATGGTGAAGTCCATCTCGAATTAGTACCGAGGACAAAGGTGTGTATGTGTGTGAGAGGGATGAACATTTTTGACGTCTGGCTCAGTGTGTGTCCAGTCACGGGTTTAGTCTGGGCCACGTCTGACACCAATGTAATTAAACACTGTACTCTGTTACCTGATGCTGTACTTATGTTCCCAGCCGTGATACAACTCCTGCTCTGTTTGTCTGCAGCTTTTAGAACTAGAACCAAAAAATAAAATGACTTTTTAATAGTTGAGAATTATAATGTACAATATTGAGTTTCATCTATAGGACATTTTTTTAACAGATGAAGCAGCTTAGTGGGATCAGGAAGTGTCCATTTCCTTTGCTCAGGTAAATAATAAATAAATATTTTTTGGAGGTTCACAGTTTTTGTTCGCATTTGAATAAAGGTCAGGAAGAGAAATATAAACCAATCACAGTGACACTCACACTAACTCTGTGTAGCCCTGTAGTGTAGTTGTTCACTACACGTGACGCAGTATAAATGACAATCGATACTTTACAACTAATTCCGAACCCAAACTCAAAAAAATATTTTTAAATTTCTGCTAGGAACTTGCACAACAGGCCAAAAATAAATCTGAACATATTCATTACTCTCCTCTAACTCCACTTCACTGAGTTGTCAGAGGTCTGTGTTGTTCTCATTCAGAAACTGGGGCTTGTTTAACACTACACTTTCCGCGACGCTGCCAAAGACTTTCCCAAAACAGGAGTCCAGGAGGTGGCGTTCAGTCAGGGTCTTCCATTTGGCACCATGCCATCATCAGAGGGCAGTTTCCTGTGGGATAAAAATATGAAAAAGTGACAGGTAGACCTAGATGGAATGACAGACTAATGGCATCTTTACTCTTTATTCTTCACTATTTCACTTCATCATACAATGTGGGCTCCAACCCTGTGATCAGCACACACAGAAAAAAAGCAGTAAATAGTGTTAGAAATGTAGGTGTGGATGTAACAGAGCCAACCAACCAGGCGATGTGCTTACTGGCTCATTTATCTAGAACACAGCTGGCCGTCAAACTAGGATAAGTTACTTTTTGTTGTTGCTTACGCACTGCTTTGCTGTAGTGACGCACTGTAGACCCAGCAGCATTCTTGTTAACAGGCTAACAGTATTATCAGTAAAACATCTGTACTAAAGCACCAGTTGATAATATTAGACATTGATAAACATTAATCCAGATAAACACACAAAAAAGGACAGATTCTGTTGTTGATTTAACTGCAGCATATGCAACATAAAAATAATAAATGTAAACATAATAGAGGGCGTTTAAAACTATATATTTTCTTAGAATATAATTGAACATTTATTTATTACGTCATCGTTGCCGCCCAATATTTCTCTATCTTCATAAAAGGGATACATTACCTGGCAGAAAAAAAAAACTATGATTTGCACTACATGTCCCAGAAGTCTTTGCAGTCGCTCGTGATCACGTGACATTGTATAAAAGGGCACGTGTGTTCTCAGTCTCTTCCGTTTGGGTTGAAGGTGAAGTTCGTTTTCTCTGTCCTCCATACACACACACACGTGAGTTACGTAACAGTGTTTTAAAGGCTGTTGTTTTCTATGTGCAATGCATGTATTTTCCATTACCGCTTGAACAATGGAAGTCATGCCTTCAAACCGCCGAGTCGTTGTTGAATCACAACGTTTTTATGTGCTGCAACGTTAGCCACCGTTAGCTGCGGCTTCATGAGTATGATGCTAACAGGAAGTACCAGAAGCCTAACCTTCTGGTAGAGTCCTTTTTACTTAAACTCTACAAATAAAAATAATACAAATGAAAATACTATATTTAAATTTGGTGTTTAATTTAAGAAACTACTTTTATTTGGTCTAAGAAATGAGTACGCGGAGGTTCTTGCATCCTCCGTTGACTGTTACGTCACACCTACCCAAACTCATGCTTTCATGCAGTGTCACTGTAATGGAGTTGTGTAAATAATTAAATAAATTCTAAGTCCTTCTGGATATAAACATGGTAACGTTAAAAAGTGACTAATATTTCGTTTTAGTGAAACGGAAGTGGTCACAGTGGCTAGTGTACAGCCTCGGTTACTGAGCACATGTGCTTAAGGTCAACGTATGACGCAAGATGTCATCTCCAAATAAGTATGGCTTAGTTACTAATTTATTCTTGCAGGTGGCAAAGTCATATTACCAAATAAAGTTGAATTCCCAAATTCTAAATGAACAATAAGTTCATTTAGAATTTGGGAAATCAACTTGTAGGCCAATTTGAGAGTCATTCAACCCTAATTAGTGGCACCTGTGGAGCTCTGAATGGACACAGGCCGCAGCTTTGTTCTCTGGAAATGCTTCACATAAGCAGGAGTTTTTCTCCCCTGTTGTAACCTGTGAACATAGCTTGCATAAGAGTTTTCTTTTAAATGAATGCATCTGTCCTTTCAGCCTGAAGATGTCTACTGTGTCTGCTGCCAGTGTTGAGGCTGCTCACGTGCCCCAGAGCACTGAGGAGAAAAAGCCCCTGAAACCGTGCTGCGCTTGTCCTGACACAAAGAAAGTCAGAGATGCCTGGTAAACACACCTCTGCAGAAAAACTCTGAACACTACTTGAAGTTATTCAAGTTGTTTTAAATTTGAATTTCTTTTCTTCAGCATCATCGAAAAGGGGGCGGAAAACTGCTCAGAGCTGATTGAGGCACATAAAGACTGCATGAGGGCACTGGGCTTCAAGATCTAAACACTCTACTTCTGTCTGGTAAGTCTTTTGACACTTAAGTTTTGCTTTATGTACTGACATTTTCCCTAGTGTCAGTATTGAAGGTCAAAAGGTTACATTTAGTTGTTTATTGAGAAAGTAAGTCACAGCTGCAGAGTCTCCATTATTTTAAATGGACCTTCAACTTCCTCAAATCAGTATATGCCTTTAATTGGAGTCGGGTGCATTCCTAATGAGCCAATCAAGTAACTGTTGATTTGACACAGCTGTTTCTATACTCGCTATACCTTAAAACTCTTAATCCAGCCTCTGCTTCAGTGTAACCACCTGAATCCAGTTTGTAATTTGTCACTAGTGTAAAGTGTAATGTTTTAGCAGGTTGTCTGAGCTTTTAAAACCCTCTTCTTTGCAGTGTGGCTTTTCCTGTGGAGGATGACACTGGGTGTTCCTTTTCTACCCCACCCCCTCTATTTATACCCAAGTTAAAGGGAAAAAGTAGGAATGCGTGTGATCTGTGTGAATGTGTTTTTTAAACTTTGCCCACTTTGTGAAATATGTCTAAAATGCTGTCTATAGATGAATAAAAGTTCTATGCAATAAATGTCCTGGTAGTGATTCCTCCGTGTGTAGTAGAATTTGCCATTTCCCGTTTAATGATTATTAATAGTGTAGTAATGTGACCGTCCTGTAGTGAAGGTCTTCTCTGCCTGTGAAACGGCTGCCACAGTTGCTGTCCCTGGTATGCACTCCAGCTTAAAAATAACTGCTGTCCCTGCAGAGGCACAACTCCACCATATCTGCATTCCTTCTGTGTGATGTGTTACTGAAGTGTGTCAGGCAGTTCATGAAACGAGCACTTTTTACTTAAGTCATGTTATGTTGGCTAATTCTTAAATTGTTTATGCAAATATTGTGTATTTTGACACATGGTTTGTTTGTTTTTTTTTTGTTTTTTTTTCATAGCATGGTTGACCTGTTTAAAAATTTGGAAACAATTTTAAATTTATATGTAGTTGGTAATATTTAAGTGCCTATACATTATCACTAACAGATTCCTACCCATCATTACTAATGAGCTTGGAATGGGCTTTTTGGTTTACAGCTTCATTGATAAATTGGAGTACTTGATCACAGTAAATCATTAAAGATGGGAATGGACTTTTTTAAAAAATTAATAGAAAATAAGATTTTCTGTCTTAACTGGCTATATATATATATATATATATATAAAAATATAAATATAAAACAAACACGATTTGTCGTACCCTCTTAGCTGTAAGGGTTATAGTCTCAAAATGGAAAATACAGTATAGATCAATGCTTCCTAGGTTTGAGGCTGAATTACTGTTATTATTGGATAAATTGATGAGACTATGAACTCAGATGATTTCTCTTTTTTTTTCAGGGTAAACTTTTGACTATGTGAAGGAAAGTGCATGGATTTCAGGTGCATCAATGTTGACAGGCTTTTTGCAGGATCTAGCTGGCGTTGGTGGGTGTTTACACCTGAAATCTGATCACTGCTGTCAACTTGTCTCTAAATACTCACCAGCAGAGACGCTCTCCTTGGAGTTGATTGGCTATATAAACACTGGAGGAATTAAAGAAGTCGTTTTAGTTTCTCACAGATATTAGTTATTGTCTGCGTACGGCCTTCTGTTTCCTGTCCTTGTCTCTCTCTTCTTTGTGTTATGTTAAGTAGCAGGCCTGCTTTCGATCGAGCTCTCTGTCCTCCTTGGGTTTCAATTCCAAACATGGTTATCCTTCTAGGGCTCTATCAGCAAACCCCCCACCCTCTTCTCTCCCTTTCTCACCCCTTCTCTTCCAACTGTTAGTTTTACAGTGCAGGCCGGTCTCAGAGAGAGAGAGAGGGAGAGAAAATAGAGCGACTGGGTGAGAAAGACGAAGGGGACACATAATGAGAACGACTGGGTGAGAAAGCCAGAGGAAAGACGAAGGGGACACATAATGAGAAGGGAAGACCCATTCCAGCTTTGTTTCTGTTTCAAGTCACATCCGGGAGCTTATTGGCATTGATTATTTTCCATTTCATGTCCAAAGGGAACAAACTTGTTAGATTCTTGTGGTCAGTCAGTTCCCATCAGGACACAAACGGCGTCTAGAGACAGCGTCTTGGTTTCCCCATCGTTTGTGAAGGTTCTAACCGTGAGCATGAATAACTCGTCTCTACTGGACAGCTTGATCTTTGCGCCCATGTGTGATGGCTGGAGCAACAACACGGAAGGAGCTATCTACCATTTGGGAAACACCATCATGTTTTTGGGCTACATGGGGGGGAGTGGGGCCTACGGCTGTCTCTTCATCTTTGGCTTCCTCACCCCGGCCTACCTGTGCCTGACCTTGTGGGGCTGGATGACGATGTGCGGCCTGGACGTGTTCACCTGGAACCTGCTCTTACTGGTGGCCTGCATCGCTCAGATCTGTCACCTCCTCTACAGGCTACGCCAGGAGGGCATAGGCAAAGAGGAGCTGACCTCCCTCTATCAGGCCGTCTACCTGCCACTGGGCGTACCTGTCCATGTGTTCAAGGAGATAGCGAAAGCTTTTGAGAACAAGGTGGTGGAGCTGAAGGCAGGGGAGACGTACGCAGTGGAGGGAAAGACACCCATCGACCAGCTCTCCTTCCTGCTGTCTGGGAGGTGGGTACATGTGTTAGTATAACATTTGTTCAGTATTTATTTATTTTAGACAAAGTTCATTTTTTCCATGGTTAAGAACTAGTGGAGTTCAGCTAGCTGTGGTTAGCTACTGCATGTGTTTTATACAGTGTATAAATAAGTTATGCTAATTAATTTATAACTTTTTGGACGAGGTAGAGTGTGAATGAATACAAAACACCAATTATAAAACTACTGACCTTGTGCCCAAGAGTAGCCATTGTAAGAAATACATCTCCTTCATTTATATCTTTTTAAATTGGAGCTGCATGAGCTCTCAAAATCCTGGACCCCAGGCCATAGAAATGTTGCACACGCTGTATTTTTTCCCTGTGACTCACCATTGTTTTGTTCCCCTGCTGAGTGCCAGCTGGTGGGGTGACATGTTTTGTCATCAGGACAGGAGAGTGGACCCCTGCTGTTCTGCTTAACTTAAATATAGGTTGGATACAAGCCTCAGTATGAGACAAATTGGGATGAAAAAAAAGAGTTTAATGCCGCATATTGTACATAAAGTGCAGCATTTACACCAAATCTGAAAGACAATTAAAAAAACATAAATCATCTTTATAACCTAGAAGTACATCCAGGTACACTGTAGTGATCATGTCATTCAGTATTACAGTTAAGCGAAAATCAAGATGAAGGCAATCAAAAGTTGAAAGGTGCAGTACCACAATTATCCATCAGGGGCTAGTTCCAAGAGAGCATTCAAATATATATTTTATATTTACAATCATCTTAAATTATGAGCATTTATTAATTTTTTAATTTTTTTCTTGAAGACTGCTTAACAAAACCATACAAACAACAGAAAAAAAATCAAATTCTTAATTTAATTGTAAAAAAAAAAACCCCAGTGTGAATGTTACGTGTTTGCTTATCAGACACATGCATCTCTGACATATAATAATTTTGTTCTATTAAAACCCAAAAAATATACTATACATTCATGCTAGACTTTATCATCTACGGTACACTTGTGTGAACCAATCACAGAACATCTGGAGTAATCCTGACCTCACAGTTGCCCCTAGTGGCAGTAATATATGCAGTATGGTGGAGTTAAATACTCCCACTGGCTGGACTGCCTCTTAAAGTCACTGGCAGCACCACAACATTTTAATATGGAACTCCTGTTGAGAATCTCTGTGTGCAGACTCCAACCCGCAGAGACCTAGCTGTTATTGGTGGATCTCTTTACTAACACATAGAAATAAGAAAGAATCTTTCTAATTCCACATTAGTTTTTAGAAGTTTAACGGGTGCACTGGACGTTCTTCTTTAATATAAAAATATATACAGTTTCTGATTGTGTTCAATAATGAATTCAAGGAGACGTGGTGTAAACATCTTGCGTCTTGAAAAAGAAATCACTCCACGGAGTCTAATTATAGCTCTCCTTCCAGCGATGTTTATTCTAATATTCCTCTCTGAAGCCTTGGGTTTACACTGTGTGTGAGCAGCTTCCTCTCTGCAAACCCACTCTCCCTCTTTCTGTCTCCCTTGGTCTCTCAGGATCAGTGTGTCTTTGGAAGGACAGTTTCTGCATTACATCCAACGACACCAGTTCCTGGACTCTCCGGAGTGGGAGTCTCTCAGACCGAACGAGGAGGGGAAGTTCCAGGTACTGTAGTGAGCTCAACAGTTAACATTAGCCTGTGTCTCTTTTGTGGTTTAGAGCTGGTAGACAAAGGTCATGCTATCAAGAATTTGTTATTTATTTGGGGCTGTAACAAACTATAAATAATTATATTAACAAATTATATAAAATGGCACTTAAATATGTATTTAGGAATCACAAAATACACCCAAAGTCACTTAATTGGTCTGAAGAATTATCAATCATTTACTGCAAATAGTTTGTCTTTGTCTTTGTCAATGCAACAGAGACAGACGGCGCAATTAAATACTCACCCACTAGATGGAACCAGTGGGATATAAAAAGTAAAAAAGACTGACTTGGAGCTGTTGAAGAAGGTCATCGTTAGCATAAGCGTCATACTGGTTAGGTAAATTATGGGTGAATGTATTTCATTGCATATACTTTTTGACTTTTTGACTGATTTTTCCTAATGTAAATATTATAAAAATAAAAAAAGTTTTGTGAACCAACAAACTAGCTTCAGATTTTAGCAAACACGACTTGTGCCCCTCAAAATTGAGGGTGGTATTGAAGGGAAATTCAATTTCAACATCAATATTTTCTTTATTTTTAAAAACTATTTTTATAGCAGTATAGAATGGATCCCGGACAAAAGCAGCTTCCCATCCTGTTATCTGTTTCCCCCCCGCTCCACAGGTGACCCTAACGGCAGAAGAAGATTCCTGCTATGTTTCGTGGCGTCGCCGGCACCTCTACATGCTGATATCGAAGGAGCGATACATCGCTCGTCTCTTCTCTGTCATGCTGGGCTACGACATTGCAGAAAAACTCTACAACCTCAACAGTAAGCTGTACATCAAGAGCGGCGTGCTGCTGGACATCCGCCTGCCCAGCCTCTACCACGTGCTGGTGCCTTCCTCGCAGGCCAGCGAGGGCGGTAGCTGCAGTGATGGAGGCATTGTTAAGCAGCCGCAGGCTGTGAGGCAGGACGAAGACCAAACCCAGGCCAATGAGAACCCCGGTCACCCTCAACACCTTCAACCGCACCAACAGGGACCAAGGAATACCTTCCCAGATGAGCCCCAGGACCTTCAGCCTGACCACTATCACCAGCGCTGGGCGTCAGAGCCGGAGATGATCTCGGGTGAGGACTCCACCAGCCTGGTTCTGGAGGACTTTGCTGATGTTGCAGGCTCCTTAATGGATTATGGCAGTGAGAGAGATTATTTGAGATAGAGAGACAGGGTGTTGGAGCTAACACACGGGGTCACCACTTAAGCGTCATGTAAGTACCTCACTTGGGCAGAGAGCGGGGCTTGGGGGTGGAGTGTGTGGTGCATGGCAGGCCTGCAGTGCACCGTTCTTACTAAACCTGATGCTTTGTTGCAACACAAAGGATCTTAGATTTGAATCAGACTCTTCCTGAAAAAAACTTTCACAAATATTGGAACAAAGAGCCCTCTAATGTTCCTTGTACAGTGGAGCCTCCAGATACGAGAATAACGTATCTCGAATCATTTTTTTCCCTATAAGAAAAAACAGAAATTATGAGTTCTTCCGCTCCAGGACGGAGCTCGTATCTCGATTCATTTTTTTCCCATAAGAAAAAATATAAATTATGAGTTCTTACCTTTGAGACAGACGATACAGTAGCAGCTAATGGCGGCATGTACGGAGGAGGGAGGGAAGAGAGTTGGCCCGTACGTAGACACTTGATTCCGTAGTGTACGTTTAAGGTACGCTACGTAACTTACATAAACTTAGAATTAACTTAACTTAATTAATAACTAATTTTTTTTTACTGTTTTGCTGTACTTCGATCTTACATGCGTGCTCGATCACTCACGTCGGCACCACGCTCATGTATTGACTCACTACCATCCTTACCACTCACTTTCTTAGGACTCATCACTATTATGAAGAATAATGCACAAAATAGAGAGAAAATCATGGAAATGATATTTACCGAAGTCGAACGAAGACGTGAAGTAAACGAGTGAGGCGGCGTGGACTGCTCCGAGCTCGGCCACGTAGCGTCGGCAACTGTCAGCGTGCTCGTATCTCAAATCTTTACTCGTATCTTGAAGCAAAATTTGCTCGAATGCTTCCTCGTGTCTCGAGGTTCCACTGTATCTTCAAAAGGCCTCTAAATTTTTGCATGATATATTCATTGTACTGTTTTTTTTTTTATTGCCCTGCATGTGGAAAGTGTCTTCTGCTGAAACATCTATGATTTTCCAAGGACTTTCCTCATCTAGTCTTGTAGATGTCCAGCTCCTCAGGGCCACTGGTGGTCACAAATATGATAGAAAATATGCTTGCATCTGATTGGTGAGTTTGTCCTAAACGTTCAAAGCCACGCCCTGAGGAAATGCTGCTCCTACGTTCATTTGAAGCTGCCTTGTCTCTACGTCTGCTGCGGCTTTGCCTTTCACACACTGTAGCAGAGGTGTCCACAGATAAGACACGTCTCAGTCAATACCAGTAAATGAGTGGAGTGTGAAGCTAATCTCAGTTTTCGTGAGTGGCAGTGAGCGGTCAGACTAATGGCAGCCGTGAGGTTGACCAGAGATCAGCTCTGACAATGGGTGACACGGGTCAAGGTCAGAGTTTATTTGTAAACCACAATCTACCTACGCAGAGATTAGCAGGATTAGAGGAACAACACAAACAAGACAGAGAACCAATGAAAACCTGGAAAGGAAAAAAAAAAAAACAATTTGTATCATCCTTAATATTTTTAATTCCTGCCCAAATCTTGGATTAGTTTGGAGCAACGCAGTGGCACCAGCTTGAACTTGAAGCTCTAGTCGTGCAGTGCTGAGCACCTGGCTCTCTGTCAGCTTCTGCGTCCATCACCCCGCCCCGACCCCACCTATCTTTCTGCCGATGCCAAGACAGCAGCTGTCAGCCAGCCACAGGTGGAGGGTCCAGTTTCATAGTTGGACAGTTGGGTCATTGCTGGGTTTTGAGTTACATGCGTTTGTGAGGCTGTAGATTTAACGGATCACTGGTCCGAGAAACACTGGTTCAACAAGAATAGACGACGACAGATACATGGGGGGGGGTCATCCTCACTTTTTACTGTCCTGCAGATTAGAGTCTAGTTCTGTTCATCGGACTAGGAGGTCATCTTTTACACTCTGATGGTGGTTGATGTATTTCAGGAATTGAACATCTGTTGCATCTGGATCAGTTTTTTGTTGCGATTAATGAGGAGGTATGCTATAGAGGAAGGAAGATTTCTTAAAGAAATATACTATATGTATACCTGGTGATTTGTCATCTTTGAAAATAACAATAAAGGTATTTTATTACTTGGAGTTCCCTCTAACTTGGTCTTGCAAAGATGTGTTTTTCACCCAGGATGTACATTTAACAAAGGTATTTTATTACTTGGTCTTGCAAAGACGTGTTTTTCACCCAGGATGTACATTTAACCCCACAGATCTGAGTCCCTGGAGTTGTTTACATTTGCATGATTGCAGAAATATCACTAAAATGAATGAGAACGGACCATAACTAATGATCCTAGCTCTTAGTTACTGAGGCTAAAAGTTTTTTTACAGTCACAAGGAAAGATAATTCTTCATCACATTTTCTCGTCAACTATTTCTGAGCCCATCTTCTGTGTTGCCTCTTCAGCAGATGGTGAAACTGATGCGGATCTACCACCTCGATTCCAAAGAGGCAGAGCTCCACTGGCTCCCACTGAAACTCCCAAACTGTGAGGAGAGTCTCTCCTACAAAACACAAATGTGTCACAGTTCACCTGTTACGACAGCGTCTCATTCTCAAGCTCCCACTGCGTCTGCACTCCAGTCCGGTCCTTACCTCAGTTACATCTTCGCTCCTCCAGAACTGGAACACATCTGGTTCTTCAGCATCTCTCTTCAAAATGCATGTCGAACATGTTGACTTGCAGATTTTCTATCAATAATCTGGCTAAAATCGTACTTCTCCGGAACTGAGGCAGGAGAAAGAGGGGGGATTGAGCGAGAGATAGCTAGAGATAGATAGATAGAGAGAGATTTTTTTTTCACTTATTCACTTACCAGCACAATAAAATCTGAGAAGATTTATGTTAAAAATAAGCATGTCCAATATGAACTTTTTGCCGATATCCGGTATACCAATATTGTCCAAACACTTAATTTCCGATTCCGATATCAACCAATACCGATATAGGCCTGGTAATATTTATGTATTTATCTGTACAAACCACTGTATGAGTTGATTATTAACATAAATGAATAAAATGAGCTGTAATGCTGCCATCTCGTGCCTTTCACTTCAATATACAGCCGTTTGTCCCCAAAATTATTCTTAGGGCACATGATTTGGTAAAACCCAAGCATAGCGTTATCAGGTTTTCATTATCGGAATAAAAACGATAACAATTCTTACATATATTATAATTATGCTAATGTCAGTCGCCTGACATTAGCATAATTATGCTATTATCACATTGGCTCAAGTCTAATAAAATAAACATGTTTTTAATTTTTTTATTTGAACTAAAATTACTTAGTAAGTTTTGATATTGGCATCACATATCGTCCTTATTTTAACACATTTGGTTCAAATTTGTCTAAAACCTCAGGTTTTCCAGGGAACAAATGACTGCGTAGGAGTTTCACTCTTTGTTTCTAAATGTTGTTTTTGTAACTAGGTATTAAATAAACACTCCAAAAAATTAAATTCTCCAAACTAAAATGTTGGATGTGTACAATGATATTTGAGAATTACCTTTAAAAATTGTACTTCAAGTATTCAAGTAGGTCTTAGACAACGTTGCCAAAAACAGTTATTATTTTATACCTAAACGTTAGCGTAGCAGAGTATAGAACCCTCCTTTTTAAAGAAAGATCTAAGTTCTGTTGAAAAAATTATTTTTTTTTAAAAAACAAGTCAAGTTTGTAACATTAGCATTATATGGACAAAATTTACAATTTTCTCTTTTTTTTTATTATTTAAAACATTGTAACATCTAAAAACATAAGACCCTAATGTTTCCTTCTTTAATTTTCACTTACGCGACAAAAACAAATGGTATGATTAAAAACGATGTTGTAAGAAGCTGTGTTAGCGAGAGACGAAACACCTGACCAAAACACTAAACTGCATTTCTGAGAGAAAACACCACAAATGTGTAGTTTTTTCCTTCTTATTGTTTCCTTGACATTAAACATGATGGAGAAAAAGTCCTTTTGTTGTCGTCGATGCTGAGTCGGAGCTTTTTCTTATCTCCACTGCCGTTCTTCCTCAGAAACCACACAACTGCACGAAGTCATGAGACCACGGAGTTCCACGACTGACATTGATGTTGTTCACACACAGCGGCTCCTCCTTCCTAGAATAGACACAGTCTTCCTTTGAAAACGTTTGAATAGAAAGTAAACTGATAATAAATACTAAGTAAGACCCCAAATAAACCCAAGTTGGTTCAAGTAAAGTCCTGTTTATACCTTACATGTTTAATTACTGAAAATGGTTTATTTTACAAGCGAAATTGTTTTTTCCTGTTGGAGAACTGCACGTCCTCAGTGCTGACCAAAAAAACCCAAACAAGGATGAGTTTCAGATTTACTGCTTGTGTGTTTCCTCTACTTGTGTGGTGGCTAGAGAGAAATATGCACTCGGTATTTACTGCCTACAGGATGTAATGAAAAAAAAACACACAACCAGAGAAAGAGACAGTGTGTGTTCACACAATGAGGGCTCATACCTGAGTTGAGGGATGTCGCTCACACACACTGACTTGATGTGGATGTCCGCCTGTCTGTAGAATCGATTACCCGTGTTCGTCAGGCCAATAGTTCGGATCTGGCACAGAGGCACCGGATGAGCCAACACGGTCTTGTACGTGGTTGTTGATGTTTGACTAAAGTGGAGACACATTTTTTACACACAGGACACGTAAACAAATAATGGCATCAAACAAGATGAGACAATTGTACAGGTTTAAATTAAATAAATGAGGAACTATAGGTACTGAGTATGTACTAAGTATTTACTTTAGGGACAGGGAACTAAAGCCAACAACATTTTTGTGACATTTCTAACAGGGCCGGCCCAGTATTCCACAATCAGGGCATCCTAAATTTAACCTTTCAGTGAAAAAAAAAAGAAAGAAAAGAAAAAGAAAAGTAGGTAACTGAAAATGTTCTGCTGAACTCAGGTGAACCTGCACTTCTGCTGTTGTCAGCATTTCGGCCTCAGTTTCCTGCTCCTCACTGTGCCTGTACAGTGGTACAGCGGTGGCCTCAAAATAGAAGCTACAACCTCTAACAGATTACAGTACAGGCTCTGGGAGTAGACGAGTGAGAGTCAGAGCCCCACACTTTGTCCATCGAGCTACAGTCTGCTGAATTGAGTCTCCTTTTTAATGAGACATTTTTTGTCCTCATGGCAAGTTTTTTTTTTACTTCAGATTTGTAGGGATTTTGTCTTTTTCCAAACCAAGGATACATTTGAATATTTATATATATATACATATATATAACTGCAATGATTATAATTGCAATGTAGTTGCAAAAACAACATTGAGTTTTTTTGTTTGTTTGTTTGTTTTTTTGTGGTACCTAGACCTAGCATGTTTGCTAAAGTACCGCGATCATAGAAAAACGAGTTGAAAAATAGCGTTGTTGTTCGTGTCGTGGTACCTACAGCCTGAGCCTCTGCTCTGTTCTGTTGTTCTCAGTCGTCAGTGTCACTTCCACCTCAGCACTTTTATCCAAAGGAGAAACCTCCAGGTGCAGCAGGATGTGATGAGCTGAGGAGAGAGACACAGCAAGCACAGGGGGGTTATTTAAGATTTTTGTCTTTAAAGGAGCCAAGCAACTTGGACAGAGTGAATAACGATGTTTATGCCAACATGGCCCCACACCACGATTTCCAAATATCTATGAAAAGGAAGTTGAAAACAACTTAACATTATGATGCTTTCTGAAACCACTGACCACAGAAAGGTGATGAGGAGGAGGTGAGGAGGAAGAGCTTCTGCTCTGTGGGAAGTGGAGATAAGGTCACCCCGCTGTTTTTTGATAAACCTGAAAAACACACACACACATTTTCACTGTTTCTGCACTTTATTTGTGTAATACAATTTGTGTAATAAAAAAAAAACATTTTAATTTATCAGGTTAAAAAAACTCCCGCAGGCCATAAAAAAATGACTTGTCGGGCCACATTTGGTCCCCGGGCCTTAGGTTTGACACATGTGCATTATGTGAATGATTCTTTCGTGCCGCCTTAAAAAAACAATTTGGTCCACAAAATATAAAAATAGATAGGCATATTAAACTTTAAATAACAATGTATGAAATATGTCTACGTCATTAATTTTTTTTTTGACTGTTGAAATAACAACATTGTCCCATTACCGATAGTCGGACATATTCCGTTGAAGGCATCGCAGTCCACACACTGGCCATTTAGAAAATCCTCATAGTTGGAACAAGGAATCCCCTTCAGCTGGCAGTCTCCGGTCAGTGCACTTATGTAGACGTACAGCGCCCTCATGTGGTCGCATATGACGTATTTATACACTGGGAAGTACATAAAAACTGACAAATACACACCAACTACTCGTTAACGCAGAGGTTTCTTAAATCATTCGAAGTATAAATAAAATGCCTCCTCACTGGAGGCCAGCCTGGAGCGGGCACAGCCTGTCTGGTCCTTCCCTCCGTTTAGGAAGAAGTCCACGTGACCCACAGGTATAGAGATCCCAAAATCTGATGCACAACAAATGTGGGACATTATTATTATTATTATGTAAAACAAAGTGATATTTGAGTCAATCACACTGAATAGACGGGCAATTTCTGGGTTTTAAATTCAAGTATTCCAACTTTTGAAAACTCTAAAGATGAAATGTACCCACAGTCAGCGTCTGTGTGGATGGCCTCCACGAACTGAGCGTCAGAAGGATCCAGTCGGTCGAAGAGGTCGGCACTTTTAAACATGGGTCCAGCGGGGTCAAGGCCTGGAAAGGTTGTGTGTAGTTTTGACATTAGCCTGGTTAGCCTCCTGGAGGAGATCATTTAGCTGTTCTTTCCCGAAGAGATCTATCCATCCATCCATCCATCCATCCATCCATCCATCCATCCATCCATCCATCTTTAGATGCTAGCATCGACGTCAGTGGCGCGGACTCACCCGTGATCCTTCCTATCTTCCCTTCGAAAAGAGTCCCAACGAAACCGGCGACGTGAGCTCCGAGACTGACGCCGATGAGGTGAAAGGACTCCAGCTTGCATCCGTGTTTCTGTTGGACAACGACAGTCACACTTTCATCACATTCATAGCATTTCTTTTTATTGCGACGAATGATGTTGGTAAAGCTGTGACCTGTAGCTGGTTGATAAGGACGCTGATCTGTAAAGCCGCCTCCTTGTGGTTCTGCACCACCAGGTTGTAGGCAAAGGAGGCCCTGAAGACCCAGTCCACCACTAGAACATTAACATCCTCCACTCTGAGCAGAGCCTGGGCCAGATCCTTCACCCATGAGGGCTTACTGCCTATAGCCCTGTGGTGGTGAGGCCGTGGGTGAGGAGAAGAATGTAAGAAAAACAGTACAGTCTTTAGTTTCGCTTTTAAAAGGTCCGACACATCATCAAAGTTGTCCTGAATACTGACGCATATATTTAACCCTCTAAGTCATACATGTCAAACTCAGGCCCGGGGGCCAAATCTGGCCCACACTTTAATTATATTTGGCCCGCAAGTTCAACAATTCTACAATTATAAATCAAATATTAATCACATTTCTGAATAAACACAACCTGAAACCAGTGGTCAATCTGTCCGTGCACAGTTCTCAATCTGGTCCAAACCTGTTCTCTTGTGCCACAGTACCTGTATCCGTGAATGATGACCTTGGTCGGGAGCGAGGTGTTGAAGAAGGAGTTCTCCTGGTTTAGAGATTCCTGGTCAAACGTCTGTGCACAGTCCACGTTTCTCCTGGTCAGCAGCAGGTACTGGATCTTCTGGGTGTCTTGCTGCTGCTGGTACCTGAGCAGGGTGGTGTAGTTGAGGTCTGCGCACTCGTCCTCCACCTCAGCATCGACATCCGCGCCTGATTGAGTGGATAAAGAAGTACTGCTAGGTCATTGGAATTATTAACTCTCGATGATTTCGTAGTTGAACTGTTTTAACAATATGAACTCATAGTTATGACATCACCTATCACGTACAGCAGCACATTAGTGTTCTGTTAGAGGTCATTAGGTGAACTGTGGGAAATTAGACAATTTGAATTATATATAATTGTATATAATACATAATTCTTCTTACTCTATGACATACTATGGGTATAACTGTACTTTTTCTTATTATTATTATTTATTACTATATGTTATTATTTATGTATTTTAATGTTATTATTATTATTTATTATTATTGTTATTATTTTTGTATTTTATATGTTGTAGCTTAGTTGTTGATTTACAGATTCAAATTGTAAGTCACTTAATATAAAAGCGTCTCCGATGTGACCATAGACAAAGAGTAGCATAAAAACCAACCAATAGCTTTGAATCTGATTTAACGAAAAGGCAACACCACGTCACTGTCGGCTCCTCTGCAGCTGCACCCCTTCATCAACACAACTGTGTCCACCTGCTCCACCCAGTATATACACAGCTCCTTTCTCTATGACAGATTTCCAGCACTTGTTGTGTCCTGATCGCGTCTCTGATATTGACCTTCGACCTGTCTCTGACCACTGTCCTTGTCTGTTGTTCAACCTGGGCTAACTAAGGTAAGCCTGTTAGCTTCAATACTAGCTTCAACACCCAGTGGTTTTGGTTGTAAAGAAGAAGATGATGAAACGACTGCAGTAAGTAGGTTCTTTCACAGCGACACTTACACTCCACTACGGATGTGATGTGGACCGTCAGAACACAGAGCAGGAGGATTCGGTGTTCCCGCAGCATGTTCGCAGCAGCAGAACAGCCACTTAGAGAACGTTGGTCTCTCTGGCCTCTTTCCTTGGTCGGCTGGTCGCTGCTCGCTCCTTAGAGATCAGGGAAAACCCAGTGCTGATCTGAAACTGAGATAAAGGATCACTCAGTCTTCGACTGGTAAAACATCCGATCCATGGAGGAATCCATAGAAGAATACCAGACCAACGAATGATCCTCCAGAATTCTGCTAATTTAACCTAAAAGCCTTGTCCTCTGCGTCCGCTCGGTCCACACACAGTTGTCTGTGTTTTGTTTCTCTCTGGGACAGCGAATGGTTGAGGCTCTTTGCCTGGTCTTTGAATTCATGACCTCATTGGTTTTCAATGGCTGTTTGTTCACAAGCTCGGACTCTGGCCTGTGTCCACACAGTGTGTTTGTGTTTGTGTGTGTGGGACAGTTTTTTTTTTTTTTTTTTTTTTGGTAAAACGTTTTGTTGTGGGGACTCTTTGTTCTTTTGGGTGACATTTCTCAGCTCTCTGTGAGGAAAGAATGTTTGTTGCGTTTGGAATTCCGTCTCAAAGGTGCAGGCCAAGATGAGAATTAAGATTAGGGATACGTTTGTAACTGTTTAAGATTACTGACAATGATTGTCCGTGTGTGTGTGTGTTTGTTCGTGGAGGAGTTGAGGTCACGCTGTGGGTAGAATTAATGATCAGCTGACTGATTGTCCCTCTGTCACTGAGCTGGGCTCCATGACACTATGAGAGGTCGCACACACAATTTAAGTAACTTTGTAAAAAGTGTATTTATACTATTTCACAAAAACAACCACAGATACAATTATATACATTTATGAATGAATATTAATGTAGTCATAGTAAGACACTGAGGGACTAAAAAAGGTGCTGTTTTATTAGAGAATATATGGCTTCACTTTTCTGTTGATCTATTTCTACAGAGAAATCACATGTTGTAATAAATTGCATGTGAGCAGAGGGTACGATTTGGAGATTTTTTTTTTTTGCATTAATGGCTTGTAAATGATTAATATAAACTGCAACTCTAATGATCCTGAAACATTATAAAATATTATAAAATAATATTTTATTATGATATTATAATATTTATAATACATTTATTATAAATATTATAAAATTTACCAGTTTACAAAAATACTATAAATGTGGGACGTAAGGAGAAATGTTATAGAAAACAAGTCTCAGGGAAAAATGATGGTCTAATAATTAACATTCTAGATGTGGGGTGTCAAACATACGGCCCGGGGGTCAAATCCGGCCCGTTTTGCAGTTCAGTCTGGCCCGCTTGATTTATCAGGTTTGGGATATTTTTTGAAAAATTATATCACATTAAATATGATACAAAATAAATAATAATAAATATCTAATATAGTTGTATGCGTTTGCATCAAAACAAAGGGGAAAAACCTGGACTTTGGATATTTTGTCAGGTAATAAAGGTAATAAATAGGAAACATGAGTTTATCTTTTGTTTATTAGATATTTACCATCAGTAAAAGCAACACATTTTTCAGACATAATGTTAATGAAGACAGTTGTATTGCTTTCTATCTCTGTCATAAGATTATTACATTTATGTATACATCTCTACATTATTATTTGTTTTTACAGACCATGTGTTTGAGATAAAAAAAAAACCTGTGTATTTTGAAGTACCCTCTGCCAGGAAATCCCTTTTTTGAAGCCAACTGAAAATGCAGTTTTGGCTGCTCTCCTCCTGCTGGCCGGTCGTCATCCTTCAAAACAGGCCTGTTTTTACGAAGAGGGCCAGATCTGATGAAGTGAACGTGTGTCAGGGCCAATCATTCTGCCCGACATCCTTTGAACCGTGAACATTAAATGCAAATTGACTGTTTAATGAAAAGGTTATCGCAAACAGCATTTTTAAATTGAATCAACTGGGTTCCAACTGTTATAGAGTTTCCTCTCGGCAAATCAGGTGAACAAAGTTGTTCTGTATTTCAGGGGGAGAAAAAAAAAACTTTTTAGAAATTGACCAGATGGGTCATGGACACACAACTCCAGATAGTGCTTACCCAGTGGTGCTGCCATCTGTTGGTAAAACATAAAATTGCATTTTATATGTGCATTTGTACTCTACAATTCTTGAGGGTCACAAGTGATCCATTTTATGACAGAGGCCGTGGGCCGTAAAAATTGGTCCATGGGCCACAATTAGCCCCCGGGCCAGATTTTGAACATGCCTGCTTTAACATAATAACATAATTATGGACTAATAATATTTTTTATGGACTAAATTATCTAAAGGTAGTGCTATGCTAGCTGACATTTAGCCTCTTATTCGTTCTCTCTCCTTCGGCAGTTGTGATGCGAGCCATTCCATCGTGCGTTTGCGCGCCTCCTCCCAGCTGTACCGGGGGTTGTACCCCAGATCCTGCTGAGCTCTCTGATAGGAGAAGGTGAAGTGCGTATTCAGCATGGTGAGCAGCTGCCGGTTAAGTGGCGGCACGATGCGTACGAAAGGTCGCAGCAGCATGCACACGACCTCCAAAAAGAAGCACACCACGTAGAAGAGGCGGAGCGGCATCATGAGTTTCTCCTGGATGCTGAAGCCCAGAGGCGACATCATGACGTGGTTGAAGTCCGAGTAGCTCACGGGCGGGGTGTCGTCGGCCGCGAAGTAGAACTTTCCTCCGACTAAGTTCCTCCTCTGCGGATCCTTCAGGCAGCGAGCGGCTTGGAGATGAGCTAACGCTGCGTTGCCGACGTAGACGGGGTTCACCCGAGCTTCTGGTTGGGACATCCGCAGGAGGACGTCCTTGTTTCGTATCCCGTCACCCATGTGGCCGAGCAGGAAGCGACATCCTTCTCCGTAGATGTACATGGGCCTGAGTGCACAGGTGGCCAGTCGGCCTCCGTTTCGGAGCAGCTCACCGTGGGACGCCAGGGTTCTCCGCTCTGCCTCTTTCTTGGTCTTGCTGTAGGAGAACTTCAGGGTGCAGTTGTAGAAGGTGTCCTCATTGCCATTGATGATAGGCTCGCCCTTAGGGTTTGGCCCCATCACTTCGATGCTGCTGGTATAAATGAAGGCGACCACGTTCTCCTGGATACACGCCTCCAGGAGGACCTGGGTCCCTGTGAAGCAAACAACAAAAAATTAGCCTCTGTCATCTGCTTGATCCATGGAAAAGAGTGATTTACTGGACTACCTGTGACATTAACTCCATACATCTCGCTGTACTCCACTGACTCGTTCACATCGATGATGGACGCGGTGTGAAAGACGACCGAAGCGGCGCGACAGGCCTTCCTCACAAATTCACCGTCTCTAATGTCGCCCTCGAAAACACTCAGCTTGGTTTTGCCTCTACAATCTGACACACACAAATACAATGTCACAAATGAAGCAACACAACCTAATACAAATGTTTAACTACATCTATCTTTGCTGTCGGGAAGGAAATTGAGGAAAATGCAAAAAGTAGGGACTCAATTCAACAAAACTAATAAAAAAGAGACGGAAATGTTTGAAAAATATCAATGCTAAAAGTTAGCCCAGAAAATGCTAAAAGTTAGCCTAGATGTTTAAGAAAATATTCATATCCTTAAAATAACTTTAAAATCTCAATTCAAAATTCCATTCCTTTTCAAAGAATTGAGAGGAGAGCCTAGAACATATCCCAAAAGTTAGCCTGGATGTTAGCTGGAGGATTGCTAAAGGCTTAAAAAATACCTAAAAATGAGCCTAAAATGCTATGGACATATTTTATCTAGCTTAAGAATGAAGAGGATAACATTTGGAATTCATAAAACACGTGCCATGACTAGGCCTTGAGCCACGTTTTTGACACTTTAATGTAATGTTTTTACCTTATTTGAATTAATTTATAGCTTTTTATTTGTAATCCTCAGGTTTATTATGACAAAATACCATCCTGTACTAAGATACAATTTTGGTTATTTATGTATTAGAATATTATAATTATTTAGTTATATATTATTTAATTATATTATATTAGAAGAAAATCCCATTTTGAAGTGTCAGAAATTGATAATAGAATATAGAGAAGAAGAACATAAACTTCTTTTTTTTTAAATCTCAAAACATGTTATAAATCCCTAAACTTTGGTTTTATTTATTTGCAGAAGACCCTTCTTAGGCCAAATCATTTTTATTTTTCAACAAAACTATCTAGTTCAAAGCAAAAACAAAATGTACAAAATTAAAGAGATATCAATTTCACCCGTCAGCTCCTGTAGAACCTGCGGCTGCACGTGTTTGTCCAGCATCCGAATCTCGGCCGCGTTCTCTTCCTCCAGCAGCAGCTTCACCAGCCTCTTTCCCAGGAATCCACAGGCTCCCGTCACTACGCACACATCACCTTCCAGAGACATCGCACCAGCTCGGTTTTCTTCTTTCACCTCTAAAATCTCCTCTCTCTCCTGAAGAGCCTTCAGCAGAAAAAAAAACAAAAACGAAGCGAAGATCTGAGTGGGTCGAAGTTGTGTAGACGCTGCCTGAGTGGGAGTAGCAGCTCTTTCTGCCCCCTCCAGTTCTCTTCTTCTTCTTTTTGTAAAGCCCAAAAAAAAAAAAAAAAAGTTTCAAAGCAAAAAACTGGGATGGGCCCTGCTCCTTTCTCCAACCTCCATTTTCTGCACAAAATGGAGGTCTCTTAAACGGAATGTTATGTTTTAATGCATATTGGGTTTGAAAATCAAATTGAAGTTGAGGAATAGTGGGTCCTTTTGGACATTTGGTGACTGTAGACACACGTTATGTAAGTGACAAGTATGAAACAAACATGAAATATTATTATTTTATTATATTTATTGTCCATAGTGTAGCGGTTATCACGCCTGCCTTATACGCAGAATGTCCTGGGTTCGAGGCCCCAGAGGAACCGTATACTTAATAGCGCCTCCTGTGGCAGCATGTGTGGGTGGCAAAGACTCGCACTGTGAATTTCCTCACTGTGGGACAAAGAATGGAATTTTTTATTATTTTAAATAACAAATAACAATTTAAAAGGTTTTTAAGGATTTTTTTAGATAACATTTTTTTTTATTTTATAGATTTTTCTCAAGAGAAATTGATCACAAGTAGCTAGACATTTTTTCTAAATGTTGTATTAATTGTGCCTGGTATGTTTCAGATTTATTCAACTGAAACTTGTAAACCCCATGTACCACCGGTGGTACGCGTACCACAGTTTGAGAACCACTGGCGTAGTGTATTTCTTGGCTACCAAGGAGAAGGCCAAAATAGGGACAATGATGATTTTCAGTCAGCTTGTGTAAATGTCTGTGGTTTGAAACCCCGTAGTGTGACCTTTCAGTTACAGGAACTCCCGCTGTGATTGAAGTTTCGTCCGGGGGTGTTTTCCATTGCCCCCCATGGTCTTAATGTGAGGCCTGTCTGTCTCCCTGTCCGTCTGCTGGGTGGAGTCATCAGCGTCATCACCCTCTGTCTCTGTCATCAGTCTCACTGGTGTCGCCTGGTGCCCTGGGTATTTATACACCTCTGTCCCTCATGGTGTCTTTGTCTGACTGTGGTGAGGAATCTAGGTACCAGAACTTTCTAGTTCTGATGCACGTCTGCTGAGTAAGAACCTGCTGTCAGGGCCTCCAGTGTTTTTTCTCCTTTTTGTGTATATAAAGTATCTTAGTCTGTCCTTGGCACAGCAGAGGCCGTGTCTCTGACTGTCTGTCTCCGTGTGTCCTTATCTGAAAGTAAATGAACGTTCAAGGGCAGACTCTGTTCAAGGGAACTGTGTGTTTTCACAGCGTCAGTGTGAGAATATAAGTGTATCTGCTGAAGGACTTCAGGATTCCTGGCTACTTTCTTTGCCAGCGCTGTGAAAGAGGTGGTTTCAGTCACCTAGTGGAAAATGGAGGTGTTGCGTTTCGGCCATTTGGGCATTTAAAAAAATTAGCCAGCTATGTAATAAACTTTTTTAAGTTCACTTTGATATAACATTGCTCAGTAGTTTGAGGGTTATGACTTTTTTTTTTAATCATGGACTGACGTTTAGAACATCGTGCCATGTCCGTCCTGCTGGTGTGATTCAGGGATCTGGGATTAAAAAAAGAGAACCGTTTATAAACACGCAGACAATCATCAGTGTTTTGCAATTTTTTTTTATTTAAGTCTCATAAAAACTGCAGTTTTGCTTACAAGTTCCAGTATATTTCATATATATTAGTACATTGTTTTTCTTTGGGTTTTACATAAATAGTTAAACAGTAGACTTTTATACTCGAGGCGTTCATGTACAGAGCAGGAAATACAGGCTTGACTACAAGGCCTTAGCTGTTGTTACTTTAATTTTTATTTTTAATAACACTTTTTTTTTAAAACTTTGATCACTTTTCTCTTATTTATACACAAAATCTCAGAATATAATATGGTGTTGTCGAATTAAAACCAAATGTTTCAAAGTGAATTTTATGAAGTCGTATAATTTATTTGGCTACTATTTCTGAACATTGTGATACTAATATTTTTTTTTTTAGCTACTTTATTTCAAGGAAAGGAAAGGAAGGTGAAGTGAACTACTTGTCATTGTGACACAGCACAGCAAAGGTCACAACCAAATGTGACCTCTGCTTTTAACCCATCACCAAAGTGAACAGTGAACAGCTTTTTGAGTGCCTGGGGCTCTCAGTGGTAACTTCGCAGTTGGTGGATTCAAAACTGAAATCTTTTGGACCCAAGTCCGCTTCCTTAACCACTAAGCCACCCCTTTTTTTTTTCAACACTACAATCCTAGAGGGGAAAAACAAAGGTGTAGCTTGAGTTTGCCTTGAAAGCCTATGTGGACTTTTTTTATCTTCAGTTTCAGCTAAGCCTGTAATGTAAAGAATATTTATGGATAATGAATATTTGATGACGCCTGGAGCTCTCATTTGTTCCCATCTCCAGTAGATCTCATTCCTTCCCTGTAGGCAGCGGACAATCTTGTATCTGAGCCTCATCCACCGAACCCTCCGGCAGGTGCACCGTCATGGTACAGGCTCGAATCCCACCCAGGGGCTCCAGCACGTTGAACACTCTGTCCCATACGTCCCTCTCTGGGTCATATCGCTGCACAACGTCCACCATACACCTGCTGTTCCAGGAATACCCTCCCACCACGAAGATCTGCCCATCGAACACCGTAACCCCAACGTCGCTCTGGCCCCGGGGCATGGGGGCCACCAGGCTCCACTGGTCCGTCTGGGGGTTGTAGTACTCGCAGCTCAGGACGTCGTCGTAGTCGCTGCTGCCCTTGAAGTGATTACCGCCCATGACGTAGAGTCTGTCTCCCACGGTGCACATGCAGTGTAGACCACGGAGCTCCATCATGTCGGAACGTCGGCTCCACGCGTCGGCCGTAGGATCGTAACACCACAGCTCATTCTGGAAGGTGTCACGTGTGATACCACCTGAGTGGAGAGGTGGGTGAATTACAGTTGATAAAAAAAAAATCTCCTTACATGCATTTATTTCTGCTTCTTTGAAAGTCTTTGCAACCCTGTGTGTAAGGCAGATGTGATAACTATGGCCCCAGTAGAGACTGACTGTGTACTTGCATAATTTATACAAATGTAGTGAAAATGCAGACATCTCATAGTAGAGATTTGTTTCTGCAATAATAATAAATAATAAATAATAAATAATAAATAATAAATAATAAATAATAAATAATAAATAATAAATAATAAATAATAAATAATAAATACTTAATAATAATAATAAATAATAAAATATACAAATATATAATGTTATATATTAAATAAATATATATTTATTCATTTATTATATAATATTACTAATTTTATTAGTATATTATTAACATATATTTCCTGACATCACAATGGAAAAATGTTGAATCAGCAAAAAAAAGAGCCTTACCTTAACCTAAACGTATCTGTATCTTTACTTTAAAACTGACAAAAATGAGACCAATAGGACTTTTATTCACTTTTTTCTATAATATGAGCAAACCAAAAATTGTAAATAAAACTATATATGTATATATAAACCATATAGAAGTTATTTTTAAATCTAATTTTATATTTTCAGTAGTTTATGAAAATGTACATGTAGAAAGAACGGTGCCAGAAACACGACCAGTCTAGTCATTTCCTGTTAAAACGTAACCTTCATTTCTCAGTCCTTCACTTGTTGTTCTGGTTAAACAGAGCCTGAAGTTTCACAGTATCTGATGTCAGTACATGTTGCTGTAACCACAGTAAGTAAAGACTGTGTCTGCTTCAGCCCCAGACAGCTGTGCAGAGCCGTGGGCTCTTTAACTTTTGACCACAAATTTTTGATTCTTCTTCTCCGAGACCTTTAAGTAAAGAGTACCCTGTTCTCCAAACGAAACTTTGATTTCCTGTTCAGTGTCAAAAACTATGTTAAAAGCTAGACCACCAGCTGCAGCCGCTGTGGGAAACTGTCTCTAAACAGGAAGTGGTTTCAAATAGATCAACTGGTTGTCGCAGTTTATCGTGACCTAATTTAATGATTGAATCTTCCAAATGTGTTGTTAGTTAACCCAACAAAGAAGTTAGTCTGACTGGCGCCGAACTCATTAGGGGCCTTAAATTTGGACCACTATCTATTGTCAGGATCTAAAACCGTTAAACTGTTTGAAATTAGTTTTGAAGACATTCTTGAATTTCCAAAACCTACTGCATTAACGTCGTTGAGGAAGTTGTCTCAAAATGTTGTTACAAGTGCTATGAAACATGAACGTGTTCCCAATGAGACCGTGTAGTGCAAGTTGTACCTGAGATGTACATGAGCTCTCCGTGAACTGTTCCAGCATGTCCATAGTGAGGCTCCGTCATACAAGTCACGAACGTCCACTCGTTCTTTTTCAGGTTGTAGCACTCCACCGTGTCTGCACAGAATCAGTTTTGTTCAACTTTGATGTAAATATGTCTGTGTTGTAAAGGCAGTGAAGAGGACGGGCCGGGGGTCCTTGACCTATCTCCTCTAAATGTATTTAGAGTCTTGTTCCATCGTTCCGTTCCTGGGTTGTAAGCCACATGTTTTGCACTACATTTGTTTTCTTTCGTCTGTGTTGTTTTTTTTTGGGACATTTGTTGCCCTTCATTGTGGCTCCCAGGCGTAAGTTAAACTCTCCTGATGTTACCACTGTGTTAGCATTGGTGAGTGACATGTACTGATGCACAGTACGACTTCGCACTATAGCAACAGAACTCCCACATAAGTTAAGGACCCCCGTAAATATAAAATATAAAAATATTGACATTATGCTTGAATGTAAATTGTAGTAAAAGATTTGTTTACCAATCTCTCCCGAAGCGTTCCGTCCTCCAACTGCGAACAGTTTTCCCTTCAAAGCGCTGAGGTGAAAGAAAGTCCTCTTCTCGTTGAGCGATGCGATCTGAAGCCACTTATCGAAGCGCGGATCGTAGCGGTAGGCGCTGTCTATGGCTGTCTTACCTTTGGTGTCATATGTGCTCTGGCCTAGAAGGTCGAGAAGGATGACAAAGGCAGTGATAAAAGAAAAAAGAAAACCACAGATTATTTACAAAAAGTGCTCAGGTGCGGAATAAAAATTTAGCTAGCTTAGCTTCGCCAAAACATAGTAGAAACTGACTTTTTTTATATATGTTTTTGAATCCAGTTTAAACATTATGAACATTAAGTAGTGATAAAACTACAACTTGAATTCAGTGTCATTTCAATGTTTCTACGCAGCACCACAGGTCAACTGGGCTTTGCCTTCATTTATCCAGTCGGCCATTTTGTCTGTGGGTTTTCATGTATCTATCAGCAGGGGTGGGGGATGAGCTACCTGAGCTTATGTACATGTATGCCAAATCCTAATACTTCTGATATTATGTTTAAGTTAATGTTGTAGCCAAAGTGGTACAGATATAGTCTCCAGAGTGTCACTGCACTGACCTCCAACTATGAAGAGGAAGCCGCCCAGCAGAGCAACCCCATGTTGGTAGCGTGGTACCTCCATGGGCTTTAAGGCCCTCCAGTGTCCCGTCTTTTCATCGTAGAGCCGGAGCTCCCGACTCACCACCAGCTGCTGTCGCATAACACCGCCCAGCGCAAGGATGTGGGTGGAGTCCGAACGTATCTTGGTTCGCTCCGTTTGCAGGGCCGGCTGCATGAACGGCATCATCTGGTAGTTGCTGGCCTCCAGCAGGAGGTTGACGCAGGCCGCGTCAGACCGCATCATGGAGTTGCCTCCTTCCTCGTCGTCCTGGGAGATCTGGATCAGCTCGCCGGGGCTCATCAGTGGGAAACGGATGTGGCGCATCAAATTGTAGATGGAGGAGTGACGTGTCGAGGGTTCGTGGTCCAGCCAACGTCTGGCGATGTGGTAGAGCTCGAGTTCGGTGAAACCTTCGAGGGAGTCGCTGGCCAGCGCGCTGGCCATGCTGGTCTCAGAGAGATGGAGGAAACGGTCGCTCTGCACCATTTCAGACAGGTTCTGGCTCACGAACTCCCCTGGTTTTGGGAGAGCGAGGAACCAAGACATGATTAATGAAGCAGTCATAAAAATGATCCATCCATCCATTTTCATCCGCTTATCCGTTACCGAGTCCACTGGAAGGTACCAACCGCCCTAACCGCGATTCGATCTTGCCCAGGAGGTGAACCCTGGGGTTCCACACCAATGACAGAGACATTGCCTCTGGGCCAAAGCACCACCATAAAAATGAGTGACTTGTTATTTTGATTCTCACCAATATTTAGCTGGACATCCTCCAGGTGCAGGTCGGTAGCGATGTGTTCGATTTCCACACAGTTGTCAATGGTGATCTTTGAACAAAAGAAAAATAATAATATATAACACTACTTGTATAATATTACAACATTTACTCCTTTTTTTTTTTTACTGGCTTCCGTGTCCACCCTGATGTTAACCATGAGCCACATATAAGAAATGGACAAAGCTTTTTGCTTGTATCATAGTGAAGCTAGCTCTGTTGGTTTTTGTGGCGGAGACAAAGCTAGCTCTGTTGGTTTTTGTGGTGGAATTTCAAGTCGTTTAGTCTTTTTTGTAGTTTCACCCTTTCACTGCGGAAGTGTTTAATAGGAGGACTCTTTGAATATTTAAACTTTGTAGTGCCTTCAAAGCCTCACCTCCTTGCTCAGAAGCTGGTTACAGAACCTCAGCACGGGCATGACCTGCAGGAAGTTTGCAGCCTCCAGTGTCTCCTGGAGGTTCCCCATGTCCAGGCTGACCTTGGATGTGTAAATGAAGTCTATGATGTTCTTTAAACCCAGCTTAGTGACACCATGCAGCTTGATCTCCTTCATCTCCTGCTCTCTCATGCCCCCTGCACACAAACAGAGAGGAACGAGTCAAGGACGAGGCGGACGGGGTTTCTCCTGACACCGTCTGAAAACGCACAGAGTGCAAAAACACGACGCCGCTCTGTGTCGAGCTACCTTACCAGTCAGTAAAAGCGGTCAAGCTAACACACTTGATAAAACATATTCGTTTCCTGCTTGAATGCAGAAGTGAAATTTCCCATCAGAGTGTCGACTTTTGAGAAAAGAAATGAGACAGTTCGCTGGCGTGTTTCAGACAAAGAAAACAAGATGTGAAGCTCTGGGCAAACACACACACACACACGCACCTGTGAACATTGCCTTGAAATAATCACTAGATGAAGCCATGATGACTCTGTGGACGGGGAACTTTTCCTTGCCGTCCTCTGGAATAAGGACCACATCGCAAAGAGTTTCATCTTCACGAAACTGATGAAAACCCTGTTAAAAAAAACAAATAAGTAAAAATGATGGAACCTAAAATGTATTATTAATGTATGTTGTTCTAGTCTCGATGACAAATCTACTTCAGACCTTGAAGGTTCTCATTCGTCCAAAAAGAGTTACATCGAGGGTAACTGGACGGACTAGGTTTCTCGAAGACGTAGGTTTCTTGAAGAACTGAGGCTTGTTCCATTCTGAAGAAGCCTCTTGGATGAGAGGTGAAACGTCTTCAAGAAACCTACTCCATCCAGATGCCGTCGAAGTAACTCTTTTGGGATACCTCAGACCTCACCCCCCAGCAGGAGCTTCGACAACCTGTCCATCGTCGGTGACTGTACCTGTAGAACAGATGCTCCGTGGTCGGTGCTACTAAACACCCTGAACATTGGCCGGGGCGGAAGTTTGGGCTTTGTGGCCTTGTCGGGACATTTTGGTGTGACGTTCACGGATGGGAAGACAGGAGCAGGCGCAGGACGTGGTGGAGGAGGAACAGCAGGAAGAGGAGGTGGAGGTCTGTCGTCTGTCGGAATATCAGAGTTACCAGAGGATGAGTACCATCGCAGTTCATGACAACTAAGTTGAGTGAAAAGTCAAACTTTATTGAAAGAGTTAGAACTAAGGCCCTGATTATCCCATACACTTCCCTAACCCCGCTACTTTCCTTTTTAAAAAATTTTTTTGGGTCACGTGAAAGCTTCAGATTCTGCTTCCTGACCTTTGTCTTTTAAGGGTACTCTTGGAAATATCGATTCTGGGAGAGTTTTTATATTAATTACCTGTATATTTACGAACCTCCCCTCCACTGTTATCACCCCTCCCTAGACTGTATTACCCTTTCCCACACAAATTATATCCAGAGTAGATATTCGGAGATGTTGAGAGATGCTACGACGCCTGCGACACACAGGGGGCAGTATATCAATCCTTGACATCTCACACAGGGGGCAGTATATCAATCCTTGTTTTTTTTACGGTGCTTTCCATATTAGTTTACATCTGTAGTTTTAATTTTTTTTAGAAATGAAATTATCGATTTGAATTTTTTCACTCATCAGCCTTTTGTCCGATATAATCAGTTCCAAACAAAACTGTTGACAGACCTTGGGGAAACGGTGGCCCAGGAGGTCTCTCTGGCTGAGCCGGAGGTCTGGGCGGTTCCCTGGCCTGATGCCTGCCGCTCAGACGGGACAGTCTGCGGCTCAGCCTCCCTGCTCCACTGTCATCTCCACTGCCCCTGCAGAGAGGACTGCGTATTACACCGCTCTCACTGTATCATCAACAATAACAATGAGGCCAAATCATGGAGATCAGATCTCAAGCCTGGTTGACTTCTCCTCACGGGCTCCTGGCATTTCCTGTTATTCTTAATTGAGTCCATCTGAACAAGGATTTAAATATCAGACGAGATCTAAGCATTTCTAATTTGAAGCATCCTAAGGTTGAAATGTGTTGCCTGCTTTCTCGACCCAGATGACAAGAGTTGTGTTGTGTATCGTGATGCTTCTCTGTGACCTCGAAAGAAGGAACCAGAACAGATGAAAAAACATTTTGTCAGATGACAAAAGTTGTGTTGTGTATCGTGATGCCTCTCTGTGACCTCGAAAGAAGGAACCAGTCCAAGGTTTTTCAATAGACTCACTTCTTTCAAAACTACTTCCTGCTGCAGTGTACAGTACACTGGATGTAAATGCAAATGAAACTTTCTGAGGAATTTCGTCATTGTCATCTTCTTCTTATTATTTTCTAATGTATTTGAGCTGCAAAAAAAAAAAAACCCAATGTCATTCAGCCAATAGCCAAGAATTAAAAAAAAAATTAAATTTAAGACAGTAGATAGTAAAGGCTCTGAAACAAGTCTAAAATAATTTTATTAGTAACTGTTGAATAACAATTACACGCTCCAGACAATGATGACTTGAACTGAAAACTGATGTGATATCTGATGTGATATTTACATAAACATAAAAACAACTTTACCCAAATTTAATTACCTCCGGGGGCTGAAGGTTGTTGTTTCGCTGACGAGACTTCCTGTTGAGTGAGAAACATACTTAGAATAGCAGATGTGCCACAGCAATAGCTAATAGCTGCTTTTTGTTGTTTTGTTTATGTGTAAATGTCAAATGTTATCATTGGCATCATTTGCAGTGGATCAGTTTTAAGCTGGTATTCTGTGGTTGAGCGCTTCAGAGGCGTAAACAGTCACACATTTAACCACATTAAAAACCCAGCAGAGGAAACTCTGTAGTTAGTACTACAGGTGCCTTCAGCTGTACAAAATATACATTTTTTAAATTTAATTATACACATTTCAAAGAGTTATTCGATTGATTGTACCACAAAATTGTACAATGTAATTAAGTATTCATTTGGACCATAGTCCGCAACACATGGCTACGTTTGATCATAATATAGAGAGTCAGAGGCAACTGTCTCCATCAAGGGTCTTGAACACAAATAAATGTGAAGAAAATCTCAGCTAAATGAAATCATTACTGACATCTAGTTGCGGACCAGATTTAAGGGAATTCATGGGCAGGAATTGACCCGTGGGCCAGGAGTTTCCGACACCTGGTCTAAAACTGATCTAAATGCTAAAATGAGAACATTTAATCTTCATTAAACTACAAGTCAACAAGTAAGTAAATTTAAGAAATTACACTATGAAGCCACAAAATCAGGCCTCGTTGTGTTTTCTTAGCTTGGATCCTATTTAGAAGAAAATTTAGGCTAAAGTAAGGCTAGTTTTTGCTTGGGCTAGATGCAATAATAGTTTTTAAGCAAGGGGTCAGAGAGGTGAACAGCAATTCTCATCACTCTACCAAAGGCTCTAATACAGGGGTGTCAAACATACGGCCCACTTGATGAATTTTGAAAATAACAAAATACATAAGACTTCACTTAATACTTAATAATAATAATAAATATCTAATATACTTGTAGTTATTTGCATGAAAACAAAGGGGAAAAAATGGACTGATTGTTATTTATGGTAATTATGTTATGAATGTACTGGTGCGGCCCACGTGACGTCTAATTGGGTCGTATGTGGGCCCTGAACAATTGGTCAAATATTCTGTCCAACCTCAGTGGTAAATGTGGATTGTTTATTTCATATGTAAATAGCTGAATTGACAAAGAGCAAATACAAAATCTGTGGATACAATCGTACAGTTTTTTAATCACAGCAACATCAACACATCTAGCTACGTTTTTAAAGATATGACAGTTTCAAACACCAGTGGTCACAATAACGTTGACTAAAAGGCTTGCTGAATGGTTAAATGAATAAAGTGAAGTGAAATTAAGTGTTACTAAATGTACTTTCCTGTGCAGCTCAAACACAACTACATCAAGTCGTAGTTTATTACCACGTATGGTGTCTGCTGGTGTACTGTACCTACCTGGAAGAAAACCTCCTCAGCAGACCGGACCCCAGGCCTCCCTCCAGTCTGATGGTGTACGTAAACCCCAGGAAAACTGTATGGAAGACAGAGCAGAAAAACCTCCGCTACACTGTTTGAGTTCAAGTGGAGCTCCCGACTGAGCATCACAGTTTCTGCAGCTTAACCCAGACCTCACTCACTTCCTGTACTACTTCTCTTTTTGTGCGGCTGTTTACGCCTAAACTGCACCTTGATGCTAACCACAAAGTGAAACACGGAGGTTGAAGTTTGAAGAGAGCAGCAGGTTTCCAAAAATGGTTTTAGATTTTTGTAGACACGGCTATTACTGAGTGTGGAAAAGGAGAACATAAGAGTGCTCCTTGATGCGCAAGCTAAAGTGTTATTTTTAAATTCTATATCTTTAGCTATTTCTGATACCCAATCACTTTAGTCATATTTGTTTTATCAAGTTATTCATATCCTTTGCTAACTTGTAGAATGGTTATGCTCCAGCATATTCTTATTACTCAATATAACTTTGACTTTCGGCAAGCTTTTGACCAAAGACACATTAGGTCTTTATATACCGTATATAGTTTGTTTATATGTTAGCGAAGTTAGCCTTCGCTGGCCTTGCACTACGTCTTGGATAAGTTTTAGCATTGCTAAAGTTTGTCATCCATCTTTTTAACCTTAGGAATTTTTTTTGACATTTGATTTTTAATTGCTGGAACTTTAATGCTCAACATGAACATTTTTAGTTGACTGAGCATTTTGAGATGCTCACGTTTACACCTACATTTTCTTTACTATTATTATGTATATTATTCAATAAAAATGTAATTAAAAATTGAAAAATATTTATTTATTTCCCACATACAATATGAACAAAAAAAGGAGCAAAATATTAATCATTGCAGATGTTTATTGAAGCACAAGCGCGGGCCGTCATCTGTTATATACCTTCAAATCCCAAAATCCCAGACAAGTCACTTTCTGATTCCTTCTTCTTTAGAATCCCACCTGACACCCTGTCATCATCCACGTCTTCTTCTTCTTCTTTAAGTCCATACTTTCACTAATACACTCTTAAATCTTTCCCTCTTTACTGAAACGACCTTTGACCTTTAGGTAGTCTCGGTCACAGCCAATGCTAAGTTCTGCCCAGAGGAACCATGGTCGGCCACGGTGACGTCCTTCCCTGCTTAGAGTCTGGACAACTGAATCAGGTTTCTGTTGATTTCTGCCACATTTCTGCAACCTAAAAACAGAAGATGACCTCAGCTGTTGTGGTTTAACCAGTGTGACAAAAATATGAGAGTGTGAGTCACCTGATAAGGCCATGGAGAGACGGAACTCGTCGTTCAAGATCTGCAGTACTTCTCTCACTCCGTCCTCGCCCTGGGAGAGCAATTACATTACAAAACAAAACATTCCTGAATATTGTACCAAAATATATGTACAATAAGCAATTGATTCTTACTGGAACATTTATGCATTTTTTATTCGTGAGTAAAAATAAAGATCTCACACACACACACACACATTTATATGACTGTTGTTGTTCTACCTTGTATGCAAGGCCCCACACTGCCGGACGGCCAATGAAAACACACTTGGCTCCCAAGGCCAGAGCCTTCAGAACGTCGCTGCCTGTCCGGATGCCTCCATCTAGATAGACTTCGATTCTGCCCTGCACTGTGTCCACAATCTCTGACAGGGCATCAATCTGTTGGCAGACACCGATAGGACAAGGACAAGGTCACCGCACAATCAGATACATGTGAACAGGATTCAAATCTTGACCGAAGAAATCTCCAATCTCCAATCCATAACATGAACTTATCAGTGCTGTGGTCAGTATGTACCGAAGCAGGGCCTCCGTCCAGCTGTCTCCCTCCATGGTTTGACACGATGATGCCCTGGACACCATGTTCCACAGCCAGCTCTGCGTCCTCCTTGGTCAAGATGCCTTTAATGATAATGGGCAGCCGAGTGATGGACTGCAGCCAGTACACGTCTTTCCAGCTAATGGACGGGTCCAAGGTGTTGGATGGGATCCCGTAACCCTCTGGGCCTGCTGTCTCCTACATGTCAGAATAGCTACACTGCTTAACAATACAACTACCACCTATTTTGAAGGACTTGTTGTATTTACCTGAAAGACACCATCGAGGTTTTTGACCTTGAGGTGAGGCGGCAGCTTGAACTGGTTGCGGATGTCGTTGCGTCTCTTTCCTGTGTACGGCACGTCGACGGTCAGGACCAGGGCTTTGTATCCGAGCAGCTCAACGCGGTGCACAATCTGCTCTGACAGCTTTCGGTCCCGGTAAACATATAGCTGGAACCACCGGTAGCCGTTTGGTGCTGCTGCCACGATCTCCTCCACTGAGCAGGTGGAGTAGGTGCTGGTGATGTAGCAGGTGTTCAGGGCCTCTGTGGCTGTGATGTCAAATAATAATGAAGACCCCAGAATTTTAACTGAACTAAAATTTACCTGGTTTAAAATTTAGCTGAAAGGTTATCAAAGTTGAGGCAGATAAAGTAAAATTCGAGTTGGGGTAAAAGGGATTCCTATAACTTAGGATTCCAGTACTTTGGTGCCATCTTGTGTTAGGTATGTATTATTACTTAACACAACTTTCTTCAACAGTTTTTTTTTTTTGCAATGCTAAATTACCTAGTTACACAATATTTTTTGGTTATAATTATGTTGCTATATTTTCAAAAAATATTTTTTTAAATTGATTTAAACATTTGCAGTTTAAATATATATATATATACATATATATATATTTGCTGATTAAATATTATTTTCACTGATCCAGTCTTACCTCGAGCTGTGGCCACCTCTCCTTCGTGCCAGGCCAGACAGTGAAAGGCTGTTGGAGCGATGCCAACAGGAAAACTGATCTCTGTCCCTTGGACTGTGGTCCGTGTGTCGCTCGCTGAGACATCACGCAGGATGCGAGGTCTCAGACGGATCCTGGTTGCAAAGAACAGAGGGAAAATATGTCAGATTTTTTTATTATTATTATTTAATAGGGTCATGTGCCTTTTGCAGTTCACCTCTGACAATAAGTAGTGGTGACTGTATGATCCACATGTGGCCCCTATAGGGATTGTTATAAACAGCTGTTTCTGTCAGCTCTGGTTTGAAGCACACGGTTCTCGTCTCTCCTACCTTTTATAGGCCAGTAGATTATCATCTCTGGTGCAGCATTCGTCAGCTCCAGCAGCGTAATAATCCCAAGTGGCCTTTGAAAGATGCTCCTTTGCGTATTCTTCGAAATCTGTCAGACATACCATAGCCATCTCTGCACAGCGATCTCCTTCTCTGTGGGAAGAGAAGTAATCCATTAAACAACGAAGAAATAGTATTCAATTTATCTATATTTGAGTTTGAAAATAATAACTGATTAGTGGTCTAAAAAGTATTCTATAAAAATGCATTAATTGGTTCCGCCGTTGTGTTTCACCCGGACGCCAATCGTGATGCACATGACGCCCGGCTCGGATCGCTACACACCTAGCAGAATTCGAAGCTCAGAAGTAACGAGGACCAAAAGGCAGAAAATGTTAAAAAGTGTGGCGGAAAAGTCTGATGTGAACACTGTGGCCCGGAGCTTAATTGTCACAGGACAACGACTTTAGTGATGCAGCATTTGCACCGGAAACACCTGGTAGTGGTAACCGTACCTCACACGTAATGTATGTATATTTACAGAATAGATCAAATAATGAATGTATTTGGGATAACAACTTTTATTTGTTTGTTTTTGCTTTAATGTGTTTCTACTTTAATTTAAAATAATATATTTTGCATAATATATTAACTTAAAAATTACTTAAACAAGGAACCCCAGAAAACTATTTATTTATTATTTATTATTATTTTATTTATTATTTATTCCTTTATTTATTTAGAATAAATTAGAAAAAATAATTTAAACAATCTGGCATTTTTACTAGTATTTTTAATTGTGGATATCCACTGTTATCATTCAGAACTAGATACTGAGCAGACATATTTTTTTCTAAATACACAGTGTGTATTGTCTTAACTGATAGCAACCTGATAAACTGATGAACACAAATGAGCTGTTTTTATTTTAAATGTGAGCAATTTAACGAGTGACTGAAAAAACCTGCATGAGTTCAAATAAATAATAACTTACCGGAAGTTCTAGATATTTCTGTCCTTAACACCTCCTTTCTCTCACATGACCCTTGCTGTAGGGAGAACAGCGGCTGCTACCACAGAGAGGTAGGCTTCTCTCTCTTTTTCTCTTTGTTAATGTGGGTGTAGCTTCACAAAAGGAGGTGCCAAACTTACAGCCTGAAGCCCACCTCTGCTCCTCACCTCTGCTCCTCACCTGCAGCCCTTTATTAACTCACCGGGACCTTTTAATGAACAGTTAAATATTCAATATTTTCATTTTTATTCAAAACACGCAAGTAATATTATTTGTTTCTTCGGCAGCTCAGTCCTCTTAAATTAGCCACTCAGCTTGAGAACGTCGGCATTTATATCGTTGACTTATTATGTGAAGGCAGTAAATTATTAACATGTTTTGCCTTTCAGTATGTGTTACACTTGTTTGTTCTGTCAATAATTGGTTTTGGTCAAGTTGTCATTAACCTGTTCTGAGGACAGAGTTCGTTGGGTCATATGTCCGTCCTGTTTTTCTCTTTTTCTTTTTTTTTTTAACTATTTGATTGGGCTAACTCATTAGCCACTGCTTTACCAGGTGTTGGACATATCTTATTTATTTATATACATTTTATTGGTTTCTGAACACTTCCAGTATCGTTCTGTTCTGCGCTGATAGCTTTAAACTAGTTATGAGGTAAGTGTCCACTGGAGGGCGCCATAACGTTTCATAAAACGTAGGCAAAGGAAAGTACAACTGGACCAGCTAACTTACATCAGATGATGTTGATTAACTCATTACGTACAATGACAAAAAAATAATTAAATTAAATTAAAAACCTTTGAATAAAAATGTTTATAATGACAACTTAGGTCTGTTTATGTTTATGCATATGGTTATTAGTGATATTATCACTCATTACTGGCTAACCCTGCTAACACCTCTACTCTTCACTACTTTAGTCATAACTGGGAGCTAAAATGTTGTTGAGACATTATAAAACCATCTGTGTTGTTTTTTGGGTTGAATTATTGGTTACTATGACTTTGAAATTCAGACGTTAAAGACTGGCGTGTCTTTGTAAGTTACTGTCCCCGTGTCCCCCTTTACTAGTGTCTCTGTTCACTGTAAAAGCCAGTAATGTCCCCTGTGTTGTGTGTAGAGGGAGCCCCTGCTCTTATTGTGTTCACAGCAGCTGGAAATGTGCTGATGATGACTGCAGCTAGAATGAGAGGCGTCTGCCACAGAGTAGATCTATGGACCAGGGTGGAGCAGACAGTACATATCGAAATGTTTACACACAACACGCTAACAAATACAAATACCATGATGACTGCTTTTAGTTTCCGCATCGGGGGCTATTGAATTGATTTTTATCATTTATCAGCTCTTGTTTATTTCAAAAGGTCAGTGCCTGGCCATTACAGCAAATGAATTTGTTATTTTTGACAGTTTTGGGCCCTTTTGAAATGAATGTCAGCTTATTTTTGCATAAGTTTCAGGCATTTTTAGGAAATGTTATTTCAATCATTTAGAAGTAGTCATGTCTTTCGTGATAAAAATGATTTTGTTGTGACTAATTTATACTTACTTTTATTAATTCACAAACACATATTTTAACGTTTTTGATAAAGCTTGCACTTTTTTTGGGATATCCATTCATTTATTCTAGTTTCAAAATCCTCACTTCCAGTTAGCTTTGGTCTAATTAGATGACTAAATATATTAAACATAATTTTTCATTTTATTTAATTATTTAATGTTTATCTTGGATGATGTAAGCTATTTTCAAATTAGTTAATACATATTTTATATTAGATAGATATACATGTACATATGTTTGGCCTTTTGCCCTTTTTACGGCCATTTTCTGCATTTCTTCATTCATTTGTTGTATAAACCTGTGTAGACCGTTAGTGCTGCTGTTTTAATTTTGACCTTATTTTAGGAAGCTATGTGTAATGTTTATTTTTTTAAAAGCAACACACTGGGTTTTAGCACTAGCTGCTGTTTTTTTTTAATATTTATTTTATTATCATTATTGAGTTTGCTTCTATGTGTGCACACAGACATTTATTTATATATTTAATTACACAATTTGTTTACTTACCGATTACATATGTTCATTCTCACTCAGTAGTTTTTCTCCTCTCAGACATAACCTGTGAAGAAAGTACAGTTTACTGTAATTGCTACAAGTGGTGCAGATACACTACTACTACTACTACTACTACTACTACTACTACTACTACTACTACTACTACTACTACTACTACTACCACCACCTCTGCTACTATTACTATTACTACTACTACCACTATCATTTATTTGTACCACATCTGTATACAAATAACGTTCAATAGTAAGACGAGTGCTAGTTGCTAAACACTCCCAGAATATGGCTCTATTATTATTATTGTTGTTGTTGTTGTTGTCGTGATGGTTGGGGTGGCGTTGTTTTCTTCGTTGCGTCAGTGGTACAGTACTCATTTTGCTACGGATACAGTAGTGGTACAGTACTCATTTTGCTACGGACAAATATAACAATGACCACTTGATGGCAGTGTAACACTAAACAAATGAACCTCTTTAAGCCACACACTCGCAGTTAAACTGTGCGCGCGCGAGTGTAAACGGAAGAACGTTAAAACGCAGATGAGCTCAAAGCCCATCTATAGCAGTTACAGCTGCGAACAAGATAATTAAAAATAAACTTTTAATTAAATAAAACCCTTATTTTCCGTCTTGATTTTATTACTTTTTTATCATAAGAAGTAATACTGCAGTGGCAGAATTATTATTATATAATAATAATAAAAATTATCCCATTAATAAAAGCTCATGAACATTGTTTTATTCAAATACACTATAATAATATTCGTAACAATACCAACCAATGACTTCACAGCCACATTAGTTAAGAAACATAAATGAGGTAGTTGATTAAATAGTATTTTAAAATGTATCCATTTTTGGTGGCCCTGTGTACGCGCGTGCGCGCTGAAATGCGTGCTTTTGCGTGCTGGTGCGTGTGTGTGTTTATGCACCCTCCCCCATGAATGGCCGTTCAACAGCACATTGTCCAGGTTTCTAGAAAGTTTCTAGAAAATAACTGTGTTGCGGTTCGTCCTGCTGCTCTGAACACAGTTTAAAAGTTTCATTACAGCATATCATTGACTCTCTGCTGTCAGCCACGCTCACACACATTAATAGACACACACACACACACACACACATGGCCTGTCATCAGCAGATAAACACCTCAGGGCACGGTTGTGCTCTAATCTCAATACCTCACAATAACAGAAAGAATTCTCAGTATTTTAAATCAGATTAAAAACAAAGAAACAAACAAACAGAAATCAGTGTAACCACTGTAGGTCCAATGGTTTAAATCAGTGTAGTATCCCGTCAGGGGAAATAAAAGGTCTCTTACCTTAAAGTCAGCTGCTCACGGTGGTCGTCAGTGTCCTGCTCATGTGACAGAGGTCGTGTCAGAGGGCAGTCCCACCCCCAGCCCGCTCACCACTGTATCGCCCATTCTTCTCGTCCCCCACTGCACTGACAGAGTAGTGATGCTCCTCCCCCTGTGGTCCAGTGGTTCAGCATCAGTCCGACCCAAAGTCAACTTTCTGACCTGACAAAAAAGGCCACATAAATCACCCGAGTACATTTTCTCTTCTGTTCTGTCTCCCTCTAACCGTCGAAGGGACCCGTCAACCTTCAGTGCATTTTATTTTCCTCCTTCCTTCTTCTATAGTTCTTTTTCTTCTGCTTCTGTTGTTCCATTTTTTAACCTCCCAGTCTTTCTCTCTATTTTCTTTTTCAAATTCTCTTGGTTCATCTTAATCTTTAATCTATGAAATACTTTTTCCTTTCGTATTCCCACTGCTCTTTAATTTGTATTGCATTAATTTAGCATTCGTTCAATTAATTATTTATATCTACATTTTTATTTTTCATTGCAAATCAGTGCTTATGTCACTCTGGATTTCTTAGTTTATAAGGTTTTTTTAGTTTAGCAAAATTTTCTTTCTTTATTTTTTTTACATCTCTCCCCTCTTTTTCTTTCCTCCTGCTCTACTGAATCTAATACCAAAATATTATATTTTTCTTTATTTTTTTTTTTACATCTCTCCCCTCTTTTCCTACTGAATCTAATACCAAAATATTATTTTCCTAAAATTAGTTCTTCCTTTTACCAAATAAGATCGTTCTCCCCGCTTCTTTTTATCAACCCTTTTTACCCTGACCCGTCATTGATTATGACAGGTTTCTCCATCCCGGTCCTCGTTCTGGTCCTGTCAAAGACCAGTGTGAAGAAATAATCTAAACGTGACCAAGACTAACGTCCCAGACCCACCAGAGTCAAAAGACACAAAATCAAAGCGAACAAAGTCGAGATCGGCCGCAACTGGTTCTGTCTCAACAGGTGTTTTCAGGATCTTTGTCGTATTCAAGCCAGATGTGTCAGCCTTTAAATGTCAGACCGTGTTGTGTTTTGGTCCCTGACCTGTAACTGATGGATTGATGGCAATATCATGGCGTCTCAGCTAACCACGGAGAAAAGAAAAGCCAAAATGCCTTGAGAAGTTGTTCGGGCGTCCGAAAACACCAGTGGGGGTGCAGTGATGCTAAATTAGATTCCCCTGCTCTTATTTCATTATAGCTCCTCAATTGAATTTACTCTTGGTAAATGTGATATCTTTGGTAACAAAACCTGGCTTCTTCAGAACTGAGCTGTGTGTCCTCCCTGTGTGTGCGCGCTCGCGTTTGAAAATTTATGTCTTTTATTTTGGCGTTGACACAAAAGGCTGTGAAGGTGGAGCCAGAGGCTAAATCTGACGACTTGGACCTCCATGGGGAGGCATGGGTGTTACCTGGAACGAAGAGGAGGTGCAAATTGTGTTAATCCACAGCTGGCCTGGACGTCTAATACCAGGAGGTTAGGAGCTGGCTCTGAGGGCCGCCATTTTTTGGGGATGTGCTGGACGTTCAGCTGAGTGGAAAACCTCTTCCACATGCTGAGAGAGGGGTTCTAGCCCCCGGGCTGTAGCCCAACACGCCGCAGCACATGTGGGTTGAATTGTTAAGGTGTTATCCTGGGCTGGCGACGCTCCGAGCTCCTCCACCTCTGTCTTTCCTAGGTTTATTATCAGACTAAATATGGCCGAGTCCACAGACGCGGGTCATAGATCCTGCAGCTGATGGCTGTCCATCAGACGCTTTACACTGTGCACACATCGGTTTATATCATAAATGCATATATACATATATATATGTACAT